ACCTTTCAACCATTCCCTCTGGCAATATGCCAGGCGTCATTCTGACTCGGCTGTGGCTCTCAACACATCTCCTCTTAGTTCTTGTCACCAGAACCAGTCCTCCAACCTTCCCCTGCCCCAAGTCTGAAAAGTCATAAACTACAGGGCTGCCAGACCATTCAATGCCTGTGCTGTCAATGAACACTCCTGGGTATGAACAGCACTGGGAGAGGGCCTAGTACCTGGTGAGGCCCAACGCCCAGAGCTGGGGGTTGCAGCCCACTTCCATGCACCCAATCTTTGCCTTAGAATCTCTGGCAGCCATGGCTGTGATCAAACTGGAACTTTTGAGGTCCTTGGGTTGTCCCCAGGGGGCCTAGGAAGTAGGCCTTCAGCTGTGGAGGGCTACTTCTGCCAGCCCACTTTCAGGGTAGGCCCCCTTCTAACTGCCAGTTCCTCAAAGTTTGATTCACAATGATTTAAAAACAGAAAACAAACAGCCACGGTGATGCATGCCTGCAATCCCAATGACACTGGAAACTGCTGCCAGAGGATGGCTTGAGCCCAGACATTGGGGAGCCCAGGAACCTGGCAACATAGGGAGACTATCTTTAAAAATAAAATAATAAAAATAAGGCTGAGTGTCCGTGGTGCACGCCTGTCATCCTAGCCACTAGGGATACTGAAACAGGAGGATTGCAAGTTTCAGACCAGCCTGAGTAACTTAATGGGGACCCTGTCCCAAATTTTAAAAAATAAAAATAAAAAAGTCTGGATGTAGCTCAGTGGTATAGCACTTGCCTACAGCATGAGCCAGGCCCTGGATTTGATCACCGGCACTTTAAAAAATAAACAAGAAATATTTTGAATTCAACAGCATGTTTCTAATGGATATTTTACTGTGTGGAGAAGGGCAATAATATAAATGCAAAATAATATAAATAAGCACAGTTAGCAGATAAACGGTCAGGCTGTGTTGTCAGGGAATTCAGGACTGCAATCCAATCCTACTCTGCCAGCCTCCGCCAATGTAAATTGGGATAATAATAACTGCTTCTGTCCTGGGGGAAATAAGCACTATCTGAGAAAATTCACGTGAAGTGATTAGCCCGCGGCCTACTCATTTTTTCATAGCTGCAAAACACACTCACACACACACACTCACACACACACACACACACACACACACACGGGGGGGGGGGGCACTTGCTCCTGTGTGGTGTTTGGCATTTTTCAAGGCTTCAAGGCAGCTCTCTAGGACAAAAGGAAGCCTCTGGAGGAAAAGGGCCAACACTCCCCACTCAGCCAGGGCTCACAGAGACGTAACAACCCACCGAGCTCTGAGCCAAAGCGCTGGGAGGGGCCTCTGTCGCGGAGGAAAAATTCATACTGGATTCCCGGGGTCGCGTTCGCACTTCCAGGAGAGTGCCGCGCTCGCCCCCGTGCGTCCGGCAGCCGCAACAACACCCAGAAGCGGGCCCCGCCCATACTCTCCCAGAAAGGCGAGCTCACTCTTACTGGGACGCTAGAAAGGTGAGGAAATGACGACCTCAAATGGAAACGTGGAGAACTTAACGAGGAAGAGATGGCTGTGATGGCGTTTCTGGGGAACTGCCACTTTGTGGTTGCATGGTGTTCGCCATATTGTGCATTTACATCTTCTGTGCTCTTCTCTATGAATGCCGTGTTTTACACTTGCATAAGGTTTTACCTCTGCGTAAGGCAGGTGGGTGGGGAGAAGGGGTTAATGAGGGTCAGCTTTGCACAGTGTGAGTGCCTGGGGACTGCTCCGAGGGCATCCTAGAAGCAACTGAAGCTGAAGCTCAGATTTGGGCTAAAGAGCTACCCAGAGCAGAGAAGCTGGTGATCCAAGGGGMCAACAACACAGCTGTGGGCGCAGAAGTGTCTGCCCACAGGCGCCTGGCTGCCCCCATCCCCAGCTGTCCTCCCAGATTCACATCCTCACAGGTGCTGCTGAGGTCAAGCAGCTGATTGGGAGTCCCTTAACACTGGCTGTGCCATTTTAGGGAATGCACTTCCAGAACCTTGATCCCGCACTTCCTGCAGCCCAGCTGTCTCTTTGCCCTTGGCTCCCACCCTAGCCCCTCAACATTGCTCCTCTGTTCAGAGGCTGGACTCTGTCCCCCTTAGGCCAGGATACTGGGTCACYCAGGCCAGGGCTAATTCAGGGATTCCCTGGCCCTCTAGTCCTTGTATTCTCAAGCTAGCTCTGCCAGGGTAGAGCTGGGAGTGAGCCAGGGCATTGACTGCAAGGGGGCGGGGGCAGGAATTGTAGTCATGCTGATCCTGGGCAGCCCTCAGGCTGGCCTATGGAGCCATGAGGCATTTTCCAYAGGCCCATGCCAGCACCCAGGCAGCCTGGCAGTGGCCAAGAAGGAACTCAGTCTGCACCTCCTGCATGGCCCCTACCAGTTTTACTGCCTGCCTTCTCCTGGGCCAAGATTCCCTGCCACCCTGCGGGAGCCCTGGGTGTCTACATGTCTGGGTGTCTGGGTCTGCACAGGGGGTCCTTGGCTCTCCCAAGTTTGAAGCAGACTGGCACCCTGGACCTGTAGCCTGCCCAGAAGAGTGCGGAATGAGGGGCTGGGATTGTGGCTCAGCAAGTGTGGCAAGTGCGAGGCCCTGGGTTCGATCCTCAGCACCACATAAAAACAAATAAATAAAATAAAGGTATTATGTCCAACTACTTCTATAAAATAAATGTGTGTTTTTTTATTAAAAAAAGAGTGTGGAATGACAGAGAGCAGGGGAGCTGGACCTGGGGGCCCTTGGACTGCCCAGGTTCAGACTCCAGCCCCATCACTTAGGAGTTGTGCCATCTGAGCCCCTCTCTACCTGTTTCTCCATGTGTAAAACAAGGATTGATCCTAATAGCCCCCAATCCCTGGTGCATATCAGAGAGAGTGACAGCTTCAGAAAGGCCAGATTCCTACCCAAGGTCCCTGAATAGATCTCGTGGGTATTTGAACACCACCTGAACCCAGGGCCYAGCTTCCGCTAACCACCAGGCCATTCAGTTGCCTTTCATCGGGAGACTAGGGAACCAGTGCCTGTAGCCACAGCACAGTGGCCTAGCAGGAAAGTCTCCCCAGGGAGTTCTAGTACATCATTCCAACTGCCCTGGGCTCTTATGCAGTGATCCCTCCCCATAACTATGGAAGGTTCAGCCTCCTGGACAGCAAGCAGGACAGGAGGAGGGCATGTGGGGTACTGTGCTGAGGCTATGGCTGAGGTTGAGCCCACAGTGAGCAGGGGGCCTGGTACAAAGGTGGGTCTGTGGGCTGGGCCTATAGCTCAGTGGCAGAGCGCTTGCCTAGCAGGTGTGAGGCACTGGGATTCGCATGAGGCACTGGGTTCGATCCTCAGCACCACATAAAAATTAACAAATAAAATAAAGGCATTCTGTCCATCTTCAACTATAAAAAAAAWTTTTTTTAAAGGTGGGTCTGTGAGGGGCACAAGCATGGCCACATGAACTCCYGTGGGTGTCAGCCCTAGGTGGGAGCCTCCTGGTCAGGGACAGAGCCACAGTCGGGTACAGCTCAGAGTGAGGGGCAGAGAGGAGGTGAAGGACCAGTTCAGTGCTGGGGCTAGTCTGTGGGTGAGGGGTGCCTGGCACTAGCTCTGCCATCTACCGGCAGCAGAATGAACCCTGTAGAGGAGGCAGGCTCAGGAGCCTCGTGCTTCAGGGCTCCCCCGAGGCCTTTCCTCACTGTAGCCATTCTCCAGACATCCTCCTGCCTGGCTGCCAGGTTGGGCACATGTATGTGCCTCCTCAGCCARTGTGCCAGGCGTGGCAGGCTGGCCCGGGGATGGGCTGAGCAGACAGGGTGTGGGGCCTCTGGACTTGGTCTACGGGCTGGGGGCTGAGCAATGCCATCCCCTGCCAGCTCAGTGGGGTCCACAGACTCCTTGGGGGCACCTCCACCCCAGCTCTTCCAGGGTTTGCCTCTGCTGTGTACTCCGTACTTCTCTCTCTGCCAGGCTTTCTATGTCAGCCTGGCTCTAGGCCCCTCTTTCCAACCTCCTCCAAGAATGAGGGCTGCAGCCAGTCCCCAGGCACTCTCTGCAGCCAGTGCTACGCATTCTAAGTAGTAGACTCTGAGTTTGTTCCCCAAGGTTAAAGTCAGGGCTGACAGCTGAGGTAAGACAGGAGGGAGGCCCACCTAGGGATGGRCCTGGGCCTGAGGTCCAGAAACAGCAGGATTCGCCCAGCATGGTGGTACGCACCTGCAATCCTAGCCACTGAGAAGGCTGAAGCAGGAGGATTGGAAAATTTTAGTGGGGAAAAAAATTAAAAAGGACTGAGTCTGCAACTCAGTGGTAGAGTGCCCTGGGTTAAATCCCCAGAGTGAAAAAGAAAGAAAGAGAAGGAAGGCAGGGAAGGAAACAGCAGGACTCAGACAAGCTGAGCGTGGGGTAACCGGTGTCTGTGTGTCCTGGTCTCCGGAGGAGGTCCATGTAGTCTCAGGATCAGACCAGAGAGCAGCTGGACTCTTGTGGACACGGCTGCCCTTAGCTGGGCATCTGATACACTGTTGCCTCCCTGCAGAGTTTGAAATACTCTGTCACTGCCCCTTTCTCTGGGTAACACAGTAACTCTTTCAGCAGTTTCCCTGACAGATATGCCCACCCCACACTTCTGGTTCTGGCTCCCACCCTGTCCCCAGCTGTGTTTGGGCTGGGCCTAGGGTGTCACCCTGGCCCTCACCAGCTGCCAATGTGGGGCAGGTGGGGGAGACATCTGAGCCCTCCAGGCCTGGCGCCAGGACCCAAGTCACTGATAGGGTGGAGGAGCCTGGGGGGCCAGGTGGGAGGCCTCTYCTGTCAGCACCCATGATGGATGAGGGGTAGGGCCTGGAGGAGGGCCAGGGGGCTAGATGCTTGCTGAGGGGGAGAAGCAGGGGGACTGGCCTCCTGGAGTCTTCAGAGTCTCTGCCTCTCACAACAAGGGTGTTTAAAGCCCCAAAGGGTGCCAAGCCTTCTCACTCCCTGGCATCATGGGCACCTGGGCCTACCTCGCCGCCCTTTTCCTTCTCTGCCTGACTTCTGAGAGCCTACAAGGCGGTGAGGGCTAGGTGGCTGGGAGGGGAGGGGAGGGTATGGGCAGCTGCAATTGGGGCTGGGGGTCAGGTCAAGTAGGGCATGGGCTAGATGCTGGGGTTCCAGAGCCAGCAAGGGTCAGAGTGTGAGAAGCCTGGGTGACAGGGAGTTTGGATGGGAGATTCAAGGACTGAGGGACCGAAGCCTTGGTCTTGCTCCCCCTGGGCCAGGGGCCAGCCCTGAGCAGCAGCCCCCTCCTCCCCTAGGGCTGCTCCTACTCCCTCCTGGCCCACAGAAAGCTAAGAAGCCACTCTTAGTCGGGGGATAGGGCCCATCTCTCCCATTCCATGGGGTCTGGGAGGTCTCTGGGGATGGCCCCAGGTGCTACCCAGCTCTGGGACTCCAGATGTGGGGCCCAGGAAAGCATGGGGTCCCTCCCTGTCTTCCTGGCAGCAGTACTATCGACGGTCAGCTCAAGGGTAGAGAATACAGACACCGTGGGCTCTGAAGAGTTGGGATTTTTTTTTTTTCCTCTAAGAACATGGCAAAGTTATTTGAAGCTGATCTTGAGGGCAGGCTGTGACAGGAGAGGGGTGGAATGTCCCTGATAGCAAGAAGAGGCAAGTGGGACAGGAGGAAAGGGACTAGGTAAGCTTTAGAAGCTCAGGGGCTGGGGGAGTGGGGCTTAGTGTCATGGACAGGTCTTCACTTCTGGGGTGCTAAGGGTGGATGGGGGTGCTCCATGAGACATGGTGCATTCAAGGTGCCAAGGGAGAGGTGGAGGGGCTTGGGACAGGAGCGGGTGGTGAGAGTTCCAGGAATGGAGGAGAGTCCAAAGACCCTCCAAAGAACTGTAATGCACGGTGGCACATGCCTGTACTCCCAGCTACTCAGGAGGCTTATGCGGGAGGGTTTTAAATTCAAGGTCAGCCTCATCAACTTAGGACCTAAACAACTTAGTGAAATCCTGTCCCAAAATAAAAAATAAAAAGTGCTGGGGATGTGGCTCAATGGCAAAGTACTTCTGGATTCAATCCACAGTACCCCCCTCCCCCCGCAAAAAAAAAAAAAAAAAAAAAAAGAAGGAAACTAAGATTGGAGGGGAGAAGTATACGAACTGATGAGGAAAAGGGCAAATGGGCTGTCCCCAGCCCCTCAGAGATACGGCTTAAACACCTTCCTCCATATCCAGGGACCCCAGCTTCAGCTCATCTGCCATCAGACTGCCTACCTGGCTCTCTGTCCTTACCCCTCCTGTGACCAGCAGGCAACTGAGCCCCAGAGAGGGAGGGTGGCGTGCACATTTGTCCCTCTTTGCCCCTTCCTAAGTTACCCACTTTCTCCCTGATCCCACAGGCTTTGGGAGCCCAAATGGCTACCGACAAGGTAACACAGACTGAGGGGTGGGCAGGGCAGGCTGCTCCCTGTCCTCCAGGAGGGTGCACTGCACCCCAGTTCCTGCCTCTCCTGCCAGGCTGGATTCAACCTCTCATTTCCCTCACAGGCTACGGCACCTCCAGTGGGCTGGGAGCAGGTGAGGACCAGGTCAAGAGATGGGGAGTCTGAGGAGCAGGGGCAGGATGCTTCCTCCCTCCCAGCTGGGAAAGAGGAGACAGGCAGGCAATCATCTTAGAAACCTAAGGGGACAGAACTGACCTCCTCTTGTCCCCAAGCTGAGAAGAAGGAAGGAAGGAAGGAGGGAGGGTTTGCTTAGAGGCCTCTGGCAAGTGACTCTCTACCTTTCTCTGATCTGAGCAGAGTCCCCAAGGCCTGTTGCTCAGAATGGCTATGGGCCCAGAGGTGGGGTTCTGGGGAGCCCCTGACTCAGGGGCTCCTGGGTTTCTCCCGCAGGCTTCGGAGGGGGCACTAGCTGATAATCCCAGCAGTATTCGAGACTAAGGATCACAAGTTCAAGGCCAGCCTCAGCAATTTAGTGAGGCCCTAAGCAACTTAGTGAGACCTTATCTCAAAAAAGGGGGGGGGCTGGGTATGTGGCTCTATGGTAAAATGCCCCTGGATCCAATCCCTGGTATCAAAAATAAATAAAAGAGGGGGTGCTAAATGTGAGGATGCAGTTGAGCCCTGCCCTGGCTCAGCCCTCTTTCTCCCCATCTTTCTCTCATGCCCCACCTTAATCTGTCTCCTCAGGATTTGGGAAGGGGAACCAGCTAAGATCCCAGCCAGGTGAGAGTGGGGAGTCCAGGGGTCACCCCCAGGGTGTCCTCAGAAGAGAGGGACAGCACTGAATGGTTGTGGGGACAGGGAGCCTTTCAGGTGTGCTGGTTTCTGGCTTGGTCCAACCTCAGCTGGGGCCSCGCACATCTCCAGCTCATGTCCCCTTCTCACAGGCCCTCCAGCTCAGAATGGCTATGGAGCAGGTAGAGGTGGGACGGGGGCAGCCTGGAGCCAGAACTAAAGGGATGCTCCTGGGAGGGGGGCTTCTGAGACCATCAGCTGATCCTCATCCCTCTCAGGCACTGGAGGGAGTGTGAAACCTCAGAGGCCAGGTGAGTCTGCCTCAGACACTGCCTGTCCCTCCACACCTCTGTGAACCTCCCACATTCTTCCTGACTCCCCCTTGCCCTGTCTCCCTAGGGTATGGAAACAGATATAGGCTGGGAGCAGGACCCATTCCAGGTGCTGCAGCCCAGCCAGGTGAGGTGGTTCTGGGGGTGTGGCTGGTCCCAGGCCCCAAGGAAGGAAAAACTGGTGGTTCAGAGAAAGTGGGCAAGAGGGGACTCAGGGTTTCTGATGTCCAGTGGGGAGGGGAAAACAAGGTCCTCCGCAGGGACCCAGATACCCCCACTTCCTCCAGGCTCTTAGCTTAGAATGGCTATGGAACAGGGACTCTGGGAAGGAGGCTGGGTCTCTGGCCTCCCTTCATCTCTCATTTCTCTCCCCAGGCTTTGGAGCAGGTAGGAAGCCCCAGAAGCCAGGTAAGAGCCTGCTCCATGCCTGTCCTCTCTCAAGCTCTTGCCACCTTTGTCTCTCTCCCTTTGAAGCTCTAGACCCTTCCTTATTCTTCCCTCTGGCTCTGCCTCCCAGGATATGAAACTAGGATGGCAGCTGGAGCCTTCCCAGGGGTGGGCGCCCTGCCTGGTAAGGAAATCTGGGACCCGGAGGGGAGAGAGTTGGGTGGTGGAGGGAGGGCAGGGGCTCAGCCTCTCCATTTATCCCAAGTCTGGGAGCAGTTGGGAAACCTGCAAATCCAGGTGCAGGGGAGCCTGCCTTGCCCATGTCTTGCTCATTTCTGTCTGTGCCCCCCTCGTCAGCACACCCCAAGCCTTACAGCCCTCACTTTCTCTCCAAGCTTTGAGGGCACTCGTGCTTTTCCAGGAGTGGAAACCCTGCCAGTTGAGGGTAGCTGAGGCAGGGCTCAGGAAGGCACAGGGGAGGAGGGTGCAGGTCCCACCCTCACCTGGTGTGGTGGCACAGGCCTAATCCTAGTGACTCAGAAGGCTGAGGCAGGAGGATTGCAAATTACAAACAGCCTCAGCAATTGTGCAAGGTCCTGTCTCAAAATAAAAACTTTAAAAGGTCCAGAGATGTGGCTCAGTGGTAGAGCATCCTACCACTGAATACTGGGTATTCAGAATTTCTTCAAAAAAGAAAAGAAAAAGAAAAAAGAAAGAAATTCTCCATTTTTATTTTGSGGGGAGGGGCAGTTGGGGTCAATATCAATGTCAAACTCTTTCTGTCTCTCCCAGCCTGGGAGGTGAGAGGTTGGGCCTTGCCTGGCTTCTGGGGTATTAACCCTCCCACAGGTCTGGGGAAAAGGAGACTGTCATGCCTCTGCATGACAAGACCTCAGAAGGCAGGGGAGCAGAGGGCCCTGCCTTTGCTGTATTGTCTCTGTGCCCCCATCTCTGCCACTGTGTTAYAGGTCCCTTCATTGGCCTGCTGATGCCCTTCCAGAGTTTGGGATGTGGTCTTGGGACTAGGGAGGGGTTTCCAAGCTGCCTGGTAGTCATGCTCCCAAAGGCAAGAGCTGCTGGGGACATGGCACACAAAGGCCTGAGACAGGGACACCACAAGAACTATCTAAACCACCATGGCCTGGCCCACACTGGCCTGGCTCCAGCCTCTGTCTCTCTCTCCTCACAGACCCTGCCTCAGAACAGCCATGCACTTGGTAGGGGAGGGTGGGGTGAAAGGGGGTCTGGGCTCAGGGCTCAGGGCTCCCTTACCTCAGGACTCCCTCTCTTAAGCATTGACGCAGGTGTGAAACCTCAAAAGTCAGGTGCTCCCTGCTCTGTTCCAATGTACCTGTCTGCTGTCCCTCATGTACTTGGCCAGGCCTCCCCTGCCTCTYTCCTGCTCCATCTCCCAGGGTTTGGCCACGGGGATGGGCTTGGAGTCCAGTCAGTAAGGGAGGAGGGAAGAGGCGGACCCAGGGGAAGTCAGGACCTGAGAGGTTAGAAACTTGATTTCTGGGGGAAGAATAGTGGGTTGGGTGGGATCTGCCAACCAACCAACATGGCTCAGCCCCTCTGCATCTTCCCCTAGGTYTGGGGGGAGGCATGAAGTCTCAGAAATCAGGTGAGCAGAGACCTGCTCTCCCTGCCTCCTCCTTGGCTCCATCCACCCATCTATGGCCTTGTCCCACCTCCACCAAGTCCTCCCTAATCCTCTCCTTACATACCACTTTCCTTCCAGGATTTGCCAATGGAAATGCCCTGGGGGCCCAGCCAGGTAAGAGCAGGAGGGAGAGGCCGGGGGCCTCCCAGCTAGGCTTCTAGAGATTCACCCAATCAATCTCCAGAGCACACCCCTGACCAAGTTGGCTGAGGCCTGTGGATGGCATGCACATTGGATTTGGCCACTTGGAGGCCACCAGGGATGTGTAAGAAAAGGGTTAGACTGGTAGCAAAAGCAAGAAGGGCCTGGGGAGCCTACAAGCCATGTGTCTCCCCCACCTTCTCACACCTGTCCATGTCTGGACCCACTGGGCCMAGCCCACAGGCCAAGAACCAAATATTCAATTGCAGACCATGGTCAGGATTGGGAGAAAATCCAGAGTGGGAGGCAGGTCCACGGGGCAGGGCAGAGGAAGCCAGAGGCTGGCCAGTCCTAGCCATATTCCCACCTTGGTGCCACTCTGATTTCCTGTGTCTACCCTTCTTTGTAGGTTCTGCAGTTCTGAGTGGCTTTGGAGCAGGTAAATAAGGGATGGGATGGAGGAGAGGAGCCCAAGCCTGGGTTTCTGGCAGGAGTACCAGACACAAAAACCCCTCACCTGCTCATCTCTTCCCCAGGCTTTGGATGGGGTGGAAAACTCCAGAAGCCAGGTAAGGCCATCACTGGGCCTGTCTCTGTCTTACTTTATCTACCTGCACTGCACTCCTCAAGGTCCCTCTATGCTCCTTTGCTCTGTGTCCCCAGAATTTGGGGTCAGGAATGGACTGGGAGCTATGGCCTCCCCAGGAGCTGGAGCCCAGCCAGGTGAGGCACTGTGGTTGTGGGAGCATGGGGTTTCCGCAGTAGGGTGCTGATGCAGAGGCATGACAGTCTCCTTTTCCCCAGACCTGTGGGAGAGTTAATATCCCAGAAGCCAGGCAAGGCCCAACCTCTCACCACCCAGCTTCTTCTCATGCAACAAACATTCCTGCAACAAACCAACCCATGGACCACACCTGTTCTGTGCCAGCCAGGGCTGGAGCTGGTTCTCTCAGAACCCGGAGCCCACTGGGGAGGCAGACAGAATGACAATGTGGAATACAGTATAGGCCAAGGCTGCCCATGAGGGCTGCCTGGGAACTCTGTGTCCCCAGAATTTGGGAAAGAGGGAACCGCAGCCAAGTTGGAGGGAGGTGGCCAAGGCACATTGAAAAATTGGTGAGGGCTTGACTGGGGCACTGAAGAGAGGCCCATAGAAAAAGGATTCAGGCTCTAGAAATAGCTCAGGTGCATGTGGCAGGAGCTAGTCATAATGAGGGGAGGCCACTTTTCTGGCTGGTCAATGGGTGGTAGTGACACTCAACGAACCAGGAAGTTGGATATGTCATCTAGGATTCCAGAGGGGCTGTCAAGGGCCTACCACAGAAGGCTGGGGACCATCACCTTCCAGGGAATGAGCAGAATAAGGGACCTAGAAAGGGCCTAAGAGGCAGGAGGGAAGACCAGAAAGTGAGGGGTGGCAGAGGTCCAGGAAGGATAATGGTGGGGAGCATCAAGGGCACATTGGATTTGGCCACTTGGAGGCCATCAGGGATGTGTGAGAAAAGGGTAGCAAAAGCAAGAAGGGTGTGGGGACCCTATAAGCCATGTGTCTCCCCAACCTTCTCACACTACCCTGGACCACAGCTGGCCTGATGAGTGTTGGGGAGGGTCAGGAGTGGCAGCTGGAGTAGAGCTGGAGGGGCCAGGCATTGGGTAGGACTTCAGAGACAGGCTGAGATCCTCAGAGCCCGTTTCTCTCCTTCCAGCAGGACCTGTAGCTCAAAATGGTTACRGACCAGGTAGGAGCAGTGCCAGGGTTCTAGGGAGGCCAGAGATGGGGACCGCCAGGGCCCTCACCTGCTGCCTGTCTCCCCTCCAGGATATGGAGGGGGCATGAAGGCCCAGAAGTCAGGTGAGCCCTGCACTAGCCAGTCTCTCTGCCTCCCCCATACCTCGACTTCCCTCCCCTCATTCACACAATCCTCCCTCTGTGGCCCAGGATTCAGGAACAGGCACAGGCTGGCAGCCCAGCCAGGTACTGGGCGGGGTCTGGGGGTGGGGCCTGCAGGTCCACAGCCTCTGCCCCCCAGGCCTCAGAGGTGCAGGGTTGGTGGTCTCCAGAATCCGTGGTTTCTGGTCTGACTCTGAAGAGGGCACCATAGGTCCTTTGCCCCCTGCTCATCCCTCCTATGTCCACAGGGCCYCTAGCTCAGATTGGCTACAGAGCAGGTACCAAGGGGCTGGGAGAAGCTGGAACCAGGATGCTCGGGTTCTGGGGTGGCTCTGAGATGGTCTCTCCTGGGTGCCTCACCTTCCCCCTTCCCTTGACTCTTTGGAGAGGGTGTGAAACCTCAGATGGCTGGTGAGCTCACTCCTGCTTATGTTTCTGCCAAAGTTCAGAGCTCTCTTCCCCCTGTCTTTCCACCCCCACCTGCCCCTCCCAGGGGTAATGGTGATGGGCTGGAGCCCAGCCAGGTGAGTGGTGAGGTCTGGCAGCCTACTGCTCCCATCCTGGACCTCAGGAGGGCAGTCAGTGAGAAATTTAGTCTAGGAGGAAGGCTCAAGAACTCCAAGGCTCTAGCTTTGGCCAAGAGGGGGACCTTCACCTCAACCTGACCCCAAGTTCCCCCTTCCTCTCTGCACAGGCCTGACAGCCCAGAACAGATTCGCAACAGGTAGGGACAGGGATGAGTAGGGAATGGGGAAACTGATACGGGACCCTAGGACGCTTACCTGCAACTATGTCTCCACCAGGCTTTGGAGGGGTCATGAAGCCCCAGAAGCCAGGTGAGTCTTGCTGGGTCATCTCTGTCCATGCACCCCCAACGCCATAAGTGCCCCACCACGGCTCCCTCCCTCTCTCTAGGGCATGGGAATGGGCTGGCAACCGGGGCCTTCCTTGCAAAAAGAGCCCAGTCAGGTGAAAAGACCTGGACAGAGCCCCTTAGAGGGTGAGGGCAGGGACCAGGAGGGCAGAGCCTGCTTGGGTTGTAGCWGTTGGGGGTCTGGCCCTGAGCTCAGCCTCCATGTCTCCACAGGAAGGGCAGAAAGTAAGGGATCACCAGGGCCATGGGTGTGAGGGGATGACAGAGGCCTGGGGGGCCTGAAGTCTCAGAGCCAGATGAAGGTGCCCTCATTTAGCCCCTACCTGTCTCTGTGACTGCCTCCTGAATCCCCCACACCAACCCCAAGCCTSTTCCTGTTTCTCCCCCAGGTTACGGCAATAGAAACGGAATGGGAGCTGGCCTAGGTAAGGGCTGCTGGGCCTTGGCCCTGAGGTGGTGTTGGGAGGTGGGGCAGGAAGAGAGAAGAGCTGGGGACAGAGACAGGGGCCAGTTAGGGGCTTGAGAAGAGCTGGCTAGACACCTGTTAGCATCTCTCTCCTTCCCTACTTCTCAGAGTGGGGGTGAAACCTTAGAAGCCAGGTGGGAGAGCAGCCTTGTCCCTTTTCTCTCTGTCCCCATTGCCCTTGGCAATAAACAAACTAAGCTGGGTCTGTACCCTCACTCCTGCTTCATGAGTGGAAGAAAATTTGTGGGGGAAGCAAGGGTCACTGGGAGGGGAATTAGGGAGACACCAAGTGACCCTAGTCCTGGCCTCATCACCCAGGCCCAGCTGTTGCATTTCCCTCTTCTCCACAGGCCCTGCAGCTCCAAATGGCCATGGACCAGGTAGGGGTGGAGCTGAGGCTGTGGGGAGGCCAGAGACGGGAACCTCATCTAGGGTCCTCACCTGGTACCTGTCTCTCCTCCAGGCTATGGAGGGGGTGCAAAGCCCCAGAAATCAGGTGAGCTCTGTTCTAGCCAGTCTCTCTGCCTCCCCCAAACCTTTTTTCCCTCTTTCACACCTACCTCCAACTCTGCCCTAGGATACAGGAATGGGAATGGGCTGGGGGCCCAACTGACCAGTGAGGGGGTTTCTGTCTGGGGTGCCCTGTTACTGTCCCCTTCCAGTCCTCCCAAGGGATGTCCAGGGGTTTCTCCAGGATTCTGGTTTGCGTACTGACCCTGAATGGGGGAACTATAAGCTATTCCTGCCCCAACTTAGCTGGGGTATCAATGCCCTGCTTATCCCTCCCTCTCACAGGTCCCCCAGCTCAGAGTGTCTATGGAGCAGGTACTGAGAGGCTGGGAGAGGCTGGGGGCGTGGCCAGGAGAAGGGAGGTGGGTCCCAGGCCCTGTCTGAGGGCCATTTTGCACCTTAGTCTTTCTCCCTCTACCCAGGCTCTGCGGTTCCCATAACTCTGGGCCAGGTGGGCATGGTTGGGCACGAGAAGGTTCCAGGGATATGGAGGAGAGGCCCATAGTGGGGGCATCCTGGGTCCCTCACCTCCTCTCCATCTCTTCTCTAGGTATTGGGGAAGGCACGCAGCCCCAGAAGCCAGGTAAGCCCTTTCTCTCTACCTTCAGAAACTGCCCACTGCCCTTGAGGCCCTAGCCCTCCCCAGCCCACCTGACTCCACAGGGTACAGGAATGGGCTGGGCGCAGGAGGCTTCCTGGGGAAAGGGGTYCAGTCAGGTGAGAGGGTAAAGAGAAGGGAAGGAGGGACCAGGTAGTCCTGGGGAGGGACAAGAGCTGCCTATCTGCCATTCGAATCAGGTAAGTCCACTTCTGTTCCTCTTCCTGACTCTCCTATATCAGCCCCTCCCCTCATGGCCTGTTCTCCTCCCAGGGTACACACCAGGGAATGGCCAGGAGCTCCCACCAGGTGAGTGCAGGGAGCCTCAGCAGGGGAGAGARAGGCAGAGGGTTCACTCCTAGGGAGGGGCTGTTGGTCTGAACAGGCCTCTGGCTTCCCAGCCCTGGGTGTGGGCATGAAAGCTTGGAAGCCAGGTGAGTGAGGAAACTACCCATCTCCGTCCTGTCCTGCGCCTCTCCTGCCCCTGCTCCAGACCCCACCCCCATCCTGACCCTCATTTCCTACTTTTCTTCTCCAGGATATGGCAATGGAAATGGGCTGTCGACCCAGCCAGGTGAGGCCACTGAAAGGGCCCTTGGGGGATGACAGATAGGGTGGGCAGACCGCAGGAGCTCTTGGCCTGTGTGACCCTTGGAACTAGGCTTTCCCCAGCCTGGCAGAGGTCTCCCCTTGGATGCTGTGTCCSCCTAGCGGCCACTGCAGGTTAATGGCTTGGTCTGGCCTGAGCTTCCTGGGCAGCCTATGGCACAGATGCCTCGAGCTCACTCCCCTCTCTCTTCCCTTCCCCCCACTAGGTCCTTGTASGGGGGGAGTCATTCCACTGCTCCTCCCCAGGCCTCCCACTCCAGGAGTTCCTTCAGATAAAGGGGGTGGCTGGAGCCAGGAATCCCAGCCCACTCCCCTAGTGCAGAATGGCAAGTTCCCAGGTCAGTGTAGAATAGGACGAGGGGGGCCACAGGGAGGTACTTGTCCTGGGAGGGCCTGGGCTTGGCTCTGTGTCCTGCTCTATCATGTCAGCTGACACCAAGGCAGTGACTTCTCACACAGTGAATCAGCTGAGGAAAAACCTGGCTCTGGTCCTGGGAGTCTGCCTTTGTCCCCTGGCCCATGGCAGGCTGCAGCCTTCTCAAGCCCTGTGCTAGGCTCACTCCTGCTCCTGCCTCCCACCCCAACTTTCYTCCTAGCACCAACCCCAGCTATCCAGTGGGGCTTAAAACCTCAGAAAGCAGGTAGAAGTCTCTCTGCCCTCAGGCCCCACTTCTCAAAGGGACAAACCCTCCACTGGGCCTACAGCCCCTGTCTCGAAGCCAAATCAGGGTCCTCCTCCATCACTTTTTTTTTTTTTTTTAATGAGACAGGCTCTAAGTTGATGATGCTGGCCTCAAACTCCCAATCCTTCTGTTTAGGCACCTAAGGCTAGGGAGTCCCTCCTAGAGTGGATCTTCCATCCCTCTTGCTATTTTCTAAGCTCTTTTCCCCTGGTTCTGTTGTCTCTGGATAGGGAGATTCCCTTCTTCCTTCTCAGAGTCCCTTAGGTTCATACTTGCTCCTCAAGGAGTTAGGGAAAGTCTCTGTCTTCCATCACKGACTTCCATTCCCCTCACAGGCTACCAGCCTCCCAGTGGCTCTGGACCAGGAGCAGAACAGGGTGAGGAGGCTCTTCAATGCACTCCTGCCTTGATTCCCCCCTCACACTTCCACCTTCTCCCCACCTCTCCTGCCTTCTGTTTGCCCAGGAAGAGGGGAAGCAGAGGCTGGGCCATCCCTGACCCTTTGCTTCCTCTCCCCCAGGCTTTGRTGGTGGTGACCTCCAGCTGCAGGAAGTTGGTGAGCCCTCCTGGCCCGACCCTCAGGTGGAGCTGGCTTCTCCCTTATGGCGAGCCCCCTTCTACTCCTCTCTCGTCTCTGCTGCTTTTCTTATTTTCCTTCACATATTTGCTACCTGCTGTGCCATAATGGTGGCTGGAACTGTGAGTGATCAGGTGAGGGTCAGGTGAGGGTCTGTCTGAAGCCAGGCGGAAGAAGGAGCAGCTTTAGAAGCTGCCCAGAGGGAAGTCAGAGGTTTCCAGAGGCAGCAGCCGGAATTTGAAGTTGCACTCTTGTTCCTGAACGAGGACGGTGGGAGAGACCAGGCAGTGGAGTAGCTGAGATGAGCCCTCTCCAAGTGGCCTCTGAGTTCTGAGTTAATCTGCCTACCTTTCCTATCACTAAAAGTTGGTCACCTGACTCCCCATGCCATCCCTGACTCCACCCTCCAATCTGTCTCCTGCAGGTTTTGGTTATGGGAATGATGCTCTGGGCACTGGGGTCTCCCTGGAGGCCCCGCGAAAGCAAGGTGTGGCAGGAGTCGGGGGAACTGGGGTGGGGAATGGGTGTGCTGGGCCCAGGGCTTTTCTCTCTCTGAAGTTCTCTCTCCTCCTCCAGGGTTCCCTGAGGCCAATGACTTTAAGAATAGTGAGTCAACCCAAGGGTCAAGATGCAGCCCAGCAAGGGGAAGGGACAAGCCCAGGGGCTGGGCTGGAACAACTAGAATCTCCTCCAGGACCTGCTGGGGAGGCTCTTGTGTACCCCAATGTGGGAGGCCATCCTGGCACGTGATTTGAGTTACCTCCCTGGCTGGGTGAGAGGGGCTTAAACACAGCTGTGTTAAAAGCATTCCCCACCTTTTCCCAGGTCCCAGGGCTTGTCCGTGCAGAGGCGTGCCTGGCCACTGACCTGAAGACTCAATTGTCATCCTTGACCTTGGGATGCTGCCCCCCTTAATCTTCATTGGATGGGATTTTTCCCTGGAATTTTTTGTTCCCCAATAAAAGCTCACTCCCTGGCGTGCTCTCCCTCTCTTGCTAGTCTCTTCTGTAAACCTTAGGTGGCTAGAGGTGAGAGCTAGGAGAAGCTGTCTAGGAGCTGGTGTTAAAGGTAATGAGAGTCTGTCTCTTTAAATTAAAACTCCCTAGTAATTTCTTATGAACCTACCTTCTTTCATGAAGCCCGTGCTGGTCGTGTGGCAGACCCCAAAGTGGAAGCTTCAGCCCCCTAAGCAGGCAGTAAGAAACAACTTGTGGGAGCCAAGGGTCTGGGAGTGGGTGCGCCTCTGAGGACATGGTGCGATGGGGTCTCCCAGGAGTCAAGCTCTGGGAGGCAGGGGTGCCTACACCATCTCTCCTCCTGCAGAGCTCCCACAGCACCCAAGATAGAGGGCACGCTCCCATCTAGGGGGAGCCCCCCTCTAACCTGGGTGTCGGGGGTGGGGGGAAGCTCGGATACCAAGGCACCCAGGGTAGTGGGCACTCAGCCAGCTAGGGGGGAGGCCCCTATAACTTGGGTGTGGGGGGGCGGGCTTGGATACCTGGGCACCCAGGGTAGAGGGCACTCCCCCCTCTAGGGGGAAGGCCCTTCTAACCTGGGGGGGCACCTCGGATACCACGGCACCCAGGGTAGCGGGACTCCCCCCTCTATTGGGGAGGCCCCTCTAACCTGGGTGTGTGTGTGGGGAGCTCAGATACCATGGCACCCAGGGTAGCTGGCACTTCCCCCTCTAGGGGGGAGGCCCCTCTAACCTGGGTGTCAATAGGGGGAGCTCGAATACCAAGGCACCCAGGGTAGGGGGCACTCCCCCCTCTAGGGGGAGGCCTCTCTAACCTGGGTGTGGGGGAGTGGAGCTTGGATACCAGGGCACCCAGGGTAGCAGGCACTCCCCCCTCTAGGGGGGAGGCCCCTCTAACCTGGATGTGGAGGGGAGCTCCCAAGGCACCCAGGGTAGAGGGTGCTCCCCCCTGTAGGGGGGAGGCCCCTCTAACCTGGGTGTGTGTGTGGGGGGGAGCTCCCAGGTCACCTAGGGTAGAGGGCACTCCCCCCTCTAGTGGAGAGGCCCCTCTAACCTGGGTGTTGGGTGGGGGGAACTTGGATATCATGGCACCCAGGATAGAGGGCACTCCCCCCTCTAGGGGGTAGGACCCTCTAACCTGGGTGTGTGTGGGGGAGCTCAGATACCATGGCACCCAGGGTAGCTGGCACTTTCCCCTCTAGGGGGGAGGCCCCTCTAACCTGGGTGTCAATAGGGGGAGCTGGGATACCATGGCACCCAGGGTAGAAGGCACTCCCCCCTCTAGGAGGGAGGCCCTTCCAACCTGGGTGTGTGTGTGGRGGAGCTGGGATACCAGGGCACCCAGGGTAGAGGTCACTCCTCCCTCTAGGGAGGATGCTAGGGGAATGCTCTACCACAAGCCACAACCCCAGCCCCTCTCAGCTCATTTTTAATTGCATAATTTATAATAATGGGATTGAGGCATACACCAAACCTCACTACACTATCCAGGTTTTGGATAAACCAGCAGTTAGGAGCTTCTGTAAACATTGTTGGAATTCCAGTCTGATTTCTCTAAATCCAGMGCATGTAATTTGTTCTAACTGAAATTCATAGGCTTTCAATTAGAAATTCATAGGCTGGAGCTCTGGCTCAGTGGTAGAGTGCTCATCTAGCATGTGAGAGGCCTTGGGTTCGATCCTCAGCACCACATAAAATAAATAAATAAATAAAGGTATTGTGTCCAACTACAACTAAAAAATAAATATATAAAAAAAGAAATTCATAGGTTTTTGTTTTTACACTGAATTAATGATTGTTATGGTTTGGATATGCGGTATCTCCCAAAAGCTCCTGTGTTAATTTAGGAGGTGAAGTGATTAGAATATGAGATTCATATCTTATTCAGTGAATTATTCCATTTGATGGATTAATTATTTGAATGGGTTACTGGGTTCTAACTGTAGGCAGGTGGGGTCTGCCTTGCATTATATATTTTGTCCCTAACTGCTCCCACTCCCTCTTTGCTCTCTGGCTATCTTGAGCTGAACAGCTCTCAGCTGCCATGCCCTTYGGCCATTATGATCTACCTCAGATCAGGCCCAGAGCAATGGAGTTGGTGACCATGGACTGAGACCTTGGAAACTGTAAACCCAAAACATTTTTCTTCCTCTGAGTTGTTCTGGTTAGGTATTTTAGTCACTAACAGTGAATTTGTAAAAATATTCAAATAGTCTTGTCTTTTCCTGCCCCAAAACATAGAATGAACCACATTCCAAGGCTTGCAGTTCTGGGGAAGAGGTTGATACCACCTGCTCACAGTGCCACTAAGCAAACTGTTTCAGTGAGGGCAGTATGATAGCCACCCTCCCCTCAAGCCTTCTTTCTCAGGATCAAATCAAACCCAGGGTCTCATGCATATTAGGCAAGCACTACCACTGAGCTACATCTCCAGCTGGGTGATATAACCTTAATACCTATAAATGTTCTAAATATATATATATAATCAAGATATTGAACCCAGGGGCACTTAACCACTGATCCCCATCCCCAGATATTTTTTTTTTTTTGTATTTTACTTAGAGACAGAGTCTCGCTGAGTTGCTTAAGACCTCACTAAGTTACTGACTTTGAACTCACTATTCTCCTCTCTCAGCCTCCAGAGCTATTGGGATTACAGGCGTGCACCACTGTGCCCGGTTATACATTCTAATTTTGAATAGATTGACCATGTTCTCCTTTATTCCTGGAGCTACCAGAGTCTCATCCATTTTAACATTAATTTTTAACTCAAATGCTAAGTCCTGTCACTGAACTCTGCATTTGAATCATGGTCTTTCTGTAAACTAACTGAATGAAAATCTACATAGACCTTGACCCACGCACCCACCCAGAAGTATCATTCTGGAGTCACTGTGGATAAACAACAGAACCACACACTACAAATTGGCCACAGCTGATGAGCAGGGAATGCAACCTGTGGGTTGCAGTGGCTCAGCGAATCCTCAGGCCAGGTGGGGGCGCCCAATGAGCATTTGCAGCGCCAGGTCTCAGGGATGGGGACGGAGACTGCGGCACCACGGGACACGATGATTGGATGGATTACGGGAAGGCGGGAAATAGAACTTGATGGAGTGCTCTGAGCCTCTGATTGGCTGCCAAGCACAGTTTGAGTCAGCTAGTGGAAGAGATGCTTGGCGCAGCTAGCGCACCGGCCTCTGATTGGATAGAGCGCGGCGGCCCCTGGGATTCCCTGGGCAGACCTCTGCGCAGCGCCGGGCCACGGTCCCGGGGTTCGAGGCTACAGAGGGAGGGCCAGATCCTGGGCGACTGCAGCAGTCAAGCTGGCGGCGCGGCTGCCCCGCTCCCGCTCGCACCCGCGGCTCGTCCGCGGCCGCGTTCACTCCCGGCTGGGCAGTGCTCGCGCGTCGCTGCCGCCTACACCGCCGCCGGCGCTATCCCTGCCGCACCCACCGCTACCCGGCCTGCCGCCCGGCTTCAGCTCCAGTGCCCCTCCGCCCTCGGCCCTCGCCCGGGCTGAGCTGCCACCGCTGCCCGCACTCCCGCTGCGACCCGAGCCTCTGGCGCCCTGGGGCCCCGGAGACCACTTGACGCTGCCGGAGCTGCCGCCGGAGGCCTGCTCGCCGGCGCTACCCGCCGCGGCGCTCGCCCTGCAAGACTTGCCCCGCCTGCCTGCGCCCGCGCCGCCGCCCGCGCACCTGCCCCTACCTCCGCTGCCCGAGGCCGCGATGGCCACCGCGCCGGGGCCGGTGGGCGCGCGCGGCCGTCCGCCCCTGCTAGACGAGCCGCAGCAGCAGCCGCTACCGCCGCTGCCTGCTCGACCCTCSCCTTTCAACCTGCTGGCGCCGCCCACGCCCCGCGACCCCTGGCCGCTGCCAGTCTTCCCTCCGCCCCCACCACCGCACTTTTTCCTGTCACCGCCTTTCTGACTGACCCTCCCGAGGCCGCRGGCCGCAGGGCCAGCGGACAGGTGAGTGGACAGCCTTGCCTAGACAAGGGCAGATTCAGAAGGCGTGAGTCAGAGCCCGGACTGGGGACCAAAGAAGGGTATCAGGGCAGTAGCCCAGGTTTGGGGAAGAAAAGCGTTTAAGTCTGACCATAAAGTCCTGTTAAGTAAATTGGGGGCTTTCTTCCATCTTTCTCTCCGGCCCTGAAGCCTCTTGCAAGGTTATTTGAGAATGTAACTCACCCCAGTGCTGATAACTGGCCGGTGTTGAGGCAGCAAGCAGGACTGCTGCTCACGGGGAAGGAAATGGGGATTAAGGGATGAAGACAAGTTTAGAGTGCTTCAACCCATGTCCAAAATGAATCATTTGGGGCTGGGAATGTGGCTCAGGAGGTAGAGCGCTCACCTGGCATGCGTGCGGCCCAGGTTCGATCCTCAGCACCACATACCAACAAAGATGTTGTGTCTGTGAATAACTAAAAAATAAATATTAAAATTCTGTCTCTCTTTAAAAAAAAATGAATCATTTTTTCCTGATAAGGGGTCAGGATGCCATGGCTGAGGCCCTCCTCTGTTTACCCTTGGAAATTCTGATCCTCCCAGGTCTTAGTCATACTTTTTCTGAAATAGATCCAGGGGTCCTGCTGACCTCTAGCCTTGATGATGGACAATCGATACTGGGCAGGAGGATCACATACAAGGGCTGTGAAGTCATCCTCAGGGGACTGGAGAGCTCCAGGCTGAGTCCTGAGAGGAAACTCCTGTAGTCTCTCCAGCCTTACTGGCCTTCCACCCCCACCTGGCCAGTTTCTGTACAGGCAGTGCAATTCAATGAAGTTCTTTGTTCCACAGGTGGCAGAGGCTCAGGTAACCACCCAGGCGGCTCATCTCCATCACCTCCATCACCGGCTTCTTGACAGCAGCAGAGCAGTGGTAACAGGAAGTTGATCTTGACTTTGAGGGACTTGTTAAGAGCCCAGAATTCACCGGCAAGAAGGGTAGTGCATTAGGTTCCCGTGTCTGTGATAACACCACAAATTGAGTGGCCCAAGTCTGCAGAAATTTGCTTTCAGTTCTGGAGGCCAAAAATCCCAGATACAGGCCTTGGCAGAACCTCTCTCCCTCTGAAGGTACTAGGGAAGAATTCTTCTTGCCTTTCCCAGCTTCTGGTGGCTCCGGGCCCTCCTTGGCTTGAGCCTCTTCACTCCAGTCTCTGCTCCCTAACAAGCTTCTTTGTGCCTGTCTCACATCTCCCTGTTTTCCTCTTATAAGGACATCTTTCCTGGAAGCTTAGATGCTTGGGCCCACACCAATCCATTAATCTCATCTTGAGATCCTTCTTGTAATTGCATTTGCAAAGATCCTTTTATCAGAAAAGGTGGCTTTTTTTTTTTTTCTTTTATACTAGGGGTTGAACTCAGGGGCACTGGACCACTGAGCCACACCTCCAGACCTAGTTTGTATTTTATTTAGAGACAGGGTCTCATTAATGCCTCACTTTTGCTGAGGCTGGCTTTGAACTAGGCATCCTCCTGTCTCAGCCTTCCAAGCCGCTGGGATTACAGGTATGCACCATGGTGCCCAGCTCAGGTTCCACATTTTATTGTGGACCCACCATGCAGTCTATACTGGCAGTGTCCTCTCCCCTGTTGGGCTGGCCCATTTCCCTACCTGTCTTCCCAGAACTTCAAGGTCTTGTTCCTTACTGGCCAGGGCTCTGGGTGCCCCTGGAGCCCTTGGGCAGGAGCCTGTAATGCTCTGGATAAAGCTCTTACTGGCACCAGAAAAAAACAAAGTGACTGTCTTTCTCCTCTGAATTATGGCCAAGTTCTCATTCTGTTAACTTGCTGCGTCTCCACTTTATAGTGTGTAGCCCTCCCCTCAACTAAGAAATGGACAACAGAGACAGTAAATACCTTCCTTTAAAGACAGCACTGTGGGGACCCCACCCCCCAAAGCTTGGGAGTCATACCTACTGCTGGTTAAAGGAAAACAATCACCACTGATAATAAAGTTAATTGTTACCCATTCATCTCTGTCTGTTCAGGTTTACAAGTGAAACTGCCCTTATGTGCCTGACAAAAGTCTTGTCCAGGTCAGTCCCTATATCAAAGTGTAGGGGTGCTCACTCAGAAAATGCCTGAGGTGGCCCTGGAGGTAGGCAGGACTCTAATTTTTCTCTTGCCTCAGCCTCCCAAGTCTCTGGAATTATAGGTGTGGCCACCAGGTGTGGCTCACGTGATGTGTGTGTGTGTCCCTTTAAGCCTAGAGTTATCTGAGGTTGAGCAGTTGTGACTGCCCAGTGAGGTCCTGGGGCCGACTAGAGCAATGGTGGTTCCCACACTAGGGGCTAAGGCCAGGAGARAGTGAACCAGAGGCTGGGGGTGGGGTGCTTTCCAGGTAATTGATAGTGGAGAAGGGAACTTTCCACAGTGCCAGTAAAAGCAGGTACTTGAGTCCAGTGAGCATGAATATACAAGGCAAAGCTTTTATCTTTGTTTTTGTTTGTTTGTTTTGTTTTGTTTTGGGTACTGGGGATTGAACCCAGAGATGCTTTACCTTGAGCCACATCCCCAGCCCCCCCTTTTTTTTTTAACTTTTTAATATTTATTTTTTAGTTTTCGGCGGACACAACATCTTTGTTGGTATGTGGTGCTGAGGATCAAACCCGGGCCGCACGCATGCCAGGCGAGCGTGCTACCACTTGAGCCACATCCCCAGCCCCTCCCAGCCCTTTTTATTTTTTATTTTGAGATACAGTCTCATTAAGTTGCTTAGGGCCTCACTAACTTGCTGAGGCTGGCCTGGAACTTGTGATCCTCCTAAATTGCTGGGATTACAGTCATGCACTATCCCTTGGTGCCAGGCTTGGTATTTTTGGGGGGTGGTGGTGGGAGGGAAACCAGGGATTGAACTCAGGGGCACTCAACCGCTGAGCCACAAACCAATTTTGTATTTTATTAGAGACAGGGTCTCACCGAGTTGCTTAGCTCCTCCTTGTTGCTGAAGCTGGCTTTGAACTTKCGGTCTTCCTGTCTCAGCCTCCTGAGCTGCTGGGATTACAGTAATTTCTTTAAGGAGTTAAGTGGTGCTGGGATGGAACTGGGATCTCGCACATTCTAGGCAAGCACGCATCATTGAGTTACAGTTCCAGCACCCCCATCCCCTTTTGCTATATTGGGGATTGAACTCAGAGGGTTTTTTTTTTTTTAGAGAGAGAATTTTTAAAAAATATTTATTTTAGTTTTCGGCAGACACAACATTTTTGTATGTGGTGCTGAGGATCGAACCCAGGCCGCACGCATGCCAGGCGAGCGTGCTACCACTTGAGCCACATCCCCAGCCCCTCAGAGGGGTTCTACCACTGAGTTATATCCTATCCTTTTAATATTTTTTATTTTGAGGTAGGGTTTTACTAAATGGCTGAGGCTGGACTCTAAATTTTTCATCTTGCCTCAGCCTCCCAAGTCTCTGGAATTGTAGGTGTGGCCACCAGGTGTGGCTCACGTGATGTGTGTGTGTGTTTTGTGTGTATATTTTTTTTAAGTGCCCAGGACTGAACCCTGGAGCCTTTAACCACTGGGCCACACCTCCATCTCTTTTTATTTTGAGATAGGTGACACTAACTTCCTTAGGGCCTCACTAAGTTTCTGAGGCTGGCCTTGACCTTGTGATCCTTTTGCCCAGACTCCCTAATGGTTGGGACTGCAGGTGTGTTCCACTGTGCCTGGCTCTCGTAATATTTTCTGGCATCATCCTACAGATTATAGTTGATTTGATTAAAAATAGCCAACCTGGGCTGGGGTTGTGGCTCAGTGGTAGAGCACTTGCCTAGCATGGGTGAGGCCCTGAGTTGGATTCCCAGCACCGCATATAAATAAACAAAATAAAGGTCAATTGACAACTAAAAATAAAAAATGAAAAAAAAATAGCCAATCTCTCTGAGGATGAGGGGGAAAAGGCACTTATACATTGCTGGTGGGACTGCAAATTGGTGTAACCAATATGGAAAGCAGCATGGAGATTCCTTGGAAAACTTGGAATGGAAAAGTCATTTGACGCAGTTATCCCACTCCTCGGTTTATACCCAAAGGACTTAAAAACAGCATACAACGGTGATGCAGCCACACTGATGTTTATAGCAGCACAATTCACAATAGCTAAATTGTGGAACCAATCTAGATGTCCTTCAGTAGATGAATGAATAAAGAAAATATGATATATATATATAATGGAATTCAGCATTAAAAGAGAATAAAATCATGGCATTTGCAGGTAAATGGATGGAGTTGGAGAATATTATACTAAGTGAGGGAAGCCAACCCCCCCCCCAAAAAAAAAAAAAAAAAACAAATGCTGAATGTTTTCTCTGATGAGGATGAGGATGCTGATCCATATTGGGGATGGGCTGGGGGGGGAGCATGAGAGGAATGGAAGAACTTTAGATAGGGCAAAGGGGAAGAAGGGGAAATGGGAGTAAGAAAGACAGTGGAATGAGATGGACATCTTACCTTAAGTATGTGCATGAAGACACGAATGGTGTGACTCTACTTTTGTGTACAACCAGAGATGAATAAAGATGTACTTTATATGTGTTCTATGAATTGAAATGCATTCTGCTGTCATGTATAACAAATTAGAATTWAAAAAAAAATAGCCAATTTCAGCAAAAGTGAGGCATCAAGCAACTCTGTGAGACCCTGCCTCTAAACAAAATACAAAATAGGGCTGGACATGTGGCTCAGTGGTGGAGTAACCCTGAGTTTGATCCCTGGTACACCCCCAGGGAGTAGGAGACCCGAGGGCTCATCTACCACTTGTCCCTGTTCTGATCCCATCTATGGCATAATCAGGTCCAGCTGCAGTTCTTTTCTGGAAGGAGGGAATGGCAGGCTCTAGAGGAATGGGTGTTGGGGAGGCTCACTGGGAAGAGCCCCTGCCCACTGTGGTCAGGAGGGGCACCCAGAGCCCTGCCCCTCCCCTGAGGGAGCTGGCTCYGAAGTGACCTGGGCTGCTTCAAGCTTGTCCTAGTTCCTGAGTGTAAGCTCGGCCAAGGTTCCCCAGCACTCTGGGCTGGTTCTTCCTCTGAGCTGCTGAGAATTACCAGGCCTTCAGGTTTCCTCTGCACTTACAGGTTAGGGACTGGCTTCTCCATCAAGAAATCAGTTCCTCAAACTGGCAGGGGGTGGAGCTGCCCTGGGGACTCTTGTTGTGCCGCCCAAGGCTACTTACTACTTACACAGTCCCCTTCCCCAGCTTTGGCCCCCTTTTGCCCTACCAAAGCTGAGCTTGAGCTTCTTCTGTCCACCTGATCCTCTCTGTCGCTCCCAGAGGGAACCAAGTCAAAGTGATTTTATCACYGCAGTACAGGGCTGGGCTGATGGAAGGACACTGAGGCCCCAGGCTTGGTTTCTTCCCAGAGCAGTACATTGTAAGTTTCCCTCCCCCATCTCTTTCCTGCTTGGGTGAGGCAGGGCAGGGATTCTTGTGGATATGTTAAAGTGCCTTTTTAGATGGTAACTTTGCTGAGCAGGCCCAAGCTTTCCATATCAATGACATTCCAGCCCCTGTCAGTCCCWGAGTCGACTCCCAATTTAACCCTTCAGTTCCCAGGATCCAACTCCATCCACGTGGACGGGGGAACCTAAGAGAGGGCCTGGGATATTTCCCTTCTCTTCTATGCCCAGTGCTTCAGGGAGTAACACTTTGTTTTATCATAGAGACATGTTGAGACTTGGGTGGAAGGTGACTGAGCTAACTGGGCCACCAGTGGGCAAGCCTGGCAGGCACTGATCACTGGGGAGGTACCTAAGTCCTACAGTGTGTATTCCTCTGGGGCTGGCTGGTCCTGGCAGTGTAGCACTCTGCTTGGCTTCCTGTACAGACATTGAGCCAAAGAAGGCAGGGGGCCTTCCTGGGGGGTGTCCGGGCTCAGCTTACTGGGTATGTGCAGCCCCCCAGCCAGTTATGATGTTATAGGCTCAGAGTTACCCGGGAACTCCTGGGCCACTGAGTCAAGGCCAGGTTGTAGGGTAAACAACTATCCTAAATTTTTTGGAAAGCTGGGCTCAATATTCAAACTTCCCAGGGGATAAAAAGCCTGTTGGGGAGGGGGCACACAGCTGCCTAGGACAAGAAAGAAAGGGGGGCAACCCAAGGCAGGTGTACAGCCCAGGACCCAAGGCAGGTGTACAGCCCAGGACCCGGCTCTCCCAATCAAACTGGGGATACTCAAACTGGAATGTCCCAGGTCAACTGGGTGAGTTGGGCACCTGAGACCTAAGGCAAGAGGGTTTTTATTTCCTGGGCCTGGGGAAGAGGAAACCCCCTATTTGGAGCTGCCTAGGGTAGGGTCCTGTYCGTGGGCCCTCTGGATACCCAAGCTTGCTGCTGCCACCCGACAACTGCCCAAACYTGTGCGGCTGGATTCCTGGCAGCCCCTGAAGGCCACAGAGGGAGCTCACAGTCAGGCTTGTCTCTATTTGTCATTCTTTCCACCAGCCCCTCATCCTTGAGATACAAGCCCCAGGGGCTGGATGACCTGGATGAACCCAACACCATCACTGGAGGGCTAGGGACCAGCCATTGTCTAACCCACTGTGGTAGGTTCCCACCCCACCCCTGCCACTGTGAAAAAGGCGCCTCCTACCTCCTCTGGTCTAGAGCCCTAGGCCAGCCCCTCACCCTGGAGGTCCTGCCTCCTGTGGGGAAGCACAGGGCACTGGTCTCTGGCTCCTTTTTTTTTTTTTTTTTTCCGTGTGAGGAGGTTCTCAAGCTTTTGGAGATCACAAACCCCTTTGTCAATCTGATGTAAACATAAACCTCTCTTCCAAAAAGTGTTAAAATTCATACCCAGAAGGAAGGTTCCTGCTCCTGGGTTCTAGTCCCAAACAACCTGGAAGCTAGAACCCTCTATAAATAAAGTCTCTTCAAATGCAAAGCACTGAAGGCCCAACCGCCCTGACACCAGGTGTGCAGAAGGGGCACCTCCCAGTCCTGCCCTTACYAGTTTCTGGTGTCTGTGGCTAGGTCAGTTCCAGCCTCACCCCCAGCCCTCTCTTTCTTGGGAGGAGACATGGAGGTGAGAGACTGTCCAGGATGAGGGCCCACTCTGCATCTTTCAGAATCCACACACTTCTTTGGAAATCCTATGAATGCTCCCTTTTCAGATAATTATAGACGGTGGCTGACACCTGTAATTCCAGTGATCCAGTAACTGATGGGAGGCTGGAGCAGGAGGATCACATGTTCAAGGCCAGTCTCAGCAACTTAGCAAGACTCTCAGCAATCTAGTGTGAGCCTATCTCAAAAAATATCCAGGTATGTATCTCAGAGGTAAAGTGCTCCTGGGTTCAATCTCCAATACCAATAAGTAAAAGTAATAATAGTCCTCAGGGATTCTTTGTCCCCAGAGAAGGGCTTGAGGGAGTTCCTGAACCTCCCACAATGACAGGCACATGTGTGCAGGAGTGTCTTCCTTGGAGGATGTAGGTCCCTCAAAGTTTCTCAAATGGGTCTTTGAGGCAAGGAGGTTAAGGAGTTGGCTCTCCATGATGCATTCCTGGTAGGGGTCAGAATTTGAGCAGAGGTCTGTGCGATTCTCAGGCTGCCCCCAATGAGGAGGCTCCCAGGGCTCTTTCCTGCCGACTGGAAGGTGTGGCTCAGGGATACCAGAATCTTCCAGGTGTCTCCCCCGGGGAGGCCAGGACTGCACCCTGTCCTGGGCTGCCTGCCCTTTCTTGCTCCAGGTCTGTTCGCCCCACCCACCCCTGCTCGCCTCCCCAGCAGGCTCCTCTTTGTCCCCTGGTCTCTGGAGGCTTTCAGCAGCTCAGTTCAGCCCCCCCAGATTCGGCAGCGGGGGTGGGGCAGGCACACCTGAGCTGAGATAGAAGGCGGGTAGTTTTCTAGGCCGTTGTCAGGGCAATGCCACCTGAGCTGGGCGCCAGGCACCTGTTGCCCAGGGAACGGCGCGGGCGGGGCCCCTCCCCCGGGAGCCRCCAGGGCCACTGAGCTGAGACGGAAGGCAGATCAGATTCCGGAGAATCTTGGGCGGGTAGGGGGACCGAGAGGGGGTTCGATACTCGGGGAGGAGGGGCACATTTGCATCATGAAATGAGGCAGGGGGATGACAAAGGTGGCATGGGAGCGGGCAGGCTCAGAGGGCAGGCTGAGACTCCCTTTGCCTATTCCTCCGTCCCTAGCCAGTTACCTCGGTACCCGATCTCCCCTATTCTTCAACTTGCCCCACCCAGTCTTCTCATCCTGGTCCCTGAGCTCCAAAGCAGAGTTGTTCTTCCTCCCTAGGCCGCCAGGTCTAGGTAGACCCCCTCCCACTGGCCCTGAGGCTCCCCTACCGCCCCTCCCACGCACCTCCAGCTCTCCTCCTCCTCAACCCTCAGGTCCGATGGCCAATCAAGGCCTCCCAGCCCTTGGCTCTGCTCCTCCCCTGCTGGGTCCTTAAAACCCCGCCTGCAGCCAAGACCGGCAGAGGCCCCAAGTGGCACCTTGGCTGGTGGTACTCTGAAGGAACCAGCGCAAGCTGGGAGAGGAAGCAGCCAGCTGGGTGAGCTTGGCCTGACCAGACTGCAGGAGTCTGAGGGGCGATAGGCCACCAAGGGGACATAAACCCCTCAACTAAGTGGGACAGAGACTGGCTTTTGTTCCGTGAGGATCTGACACCTGCAAGAGGTCTACAGATGTGAGGACTGTCCTGACCTAGAGGCTTCGACTCATTCTCCCCTCTCCCTGGGCACTGAGACCCACCCACCTGACTCGTCTGGTCCTCTCTGTGAGTCAACCAGACTGCTTGGGGCTGGGGAGACCTGACTGAGGGGCAGATGGCTTCAACTGGTCTTGAACTCCTGGGCATGACCCTGGCTGTGCTGGGATGGTTGGGGACCCTGGTTTCCTGTGCCCTGCCCCTGTGGAAAGTGACCGCTTTCATCGGCAACAGCATTGTGGTGGCCCAGGTGGTGTGGGAGGGGCTGTGGATGTCCTGTGTGGTGCAGAGCACTGGCCAGATGCAGTGCAAGGTGTATGACTCGCTGCTGGCACTGCCCCAGGACCTGCAGGCCGCGCGTGCCCTCTGTGTCGTAGCCCTCCTGCTGGCCCTGCTTGGCCTGCTGGTGGCCATCACTGGCGCCCAGTGTACTACGTGTGTGGAGGACGAAGGCGCCAAGGCCCGTATTGTACTCACTGCTGGAGTCCTCCTGCTCCTCGCAGGCATCCTGGTGCTCATCCCGGTCTGCTGGACAGCCCACGCCATCATCCAGGATTTCTACAACCCCCTGGTGGCTGAGGCCCTCAAGCGGGAGCTGGGGGCTTCTCTCTACCTGGGCTGGGCTGCAGCTGCACTGCTCATGCTGGGTGGCGGGCTCCTCTGCTGCACATGCCCCCCACCCCAGTTTGAGCGGCCCCGTGGACCTAGGCTGGGCTACTCCATCCCTTCCCGCTCAGGCGTGTCAGGGCTGGACAAGAGGGACTACGTGTGAGGAAAAGGCTTCCTTCAGGCATCTGCACCTTCAGACTCTGATTGCAGCCTTGCTTCTAACCACCCCTTGCCTTGTGGGAGCCTATTTCTGCACAGCTGGAGCCAGACCTGGCGCTACAGATGTTCTCTGCTGATCTGGCTGAAATGACCCTTACTGGGGTCAAAATGGGGCCAAAGCTGCTGGTGCGCCAGACCACCTTGTCTCCCTTGTTTTCTTCTGTTGTCCAGGACATAGACTGACCTTTCTTCCTCTGAGCCCTCCCCTGCCCCAGGAACAAAGGACAGCATCTCCTTGTCTCCAAAATAAAGGAGATTGTGCTCTCCCTGCTTGGTCCATTTTGGCCCAAACTTCACCTGCATAAATAGGCCCTTTGGGACCAGCCAGCCTGTCAGTCCCCCAACTCTGCCCTCAAGTCTGGAATCTGGAATAAAAAGAGATCTTGTAATCAGGTTTCCTTTGCTTTGTACACTTGACTCCCCTGAGGTGTCAGGCCAAGGTCTGCTTCAGGTCCTGCCCAGTGAAGAACCTTTTTTACACCATGGGGTCAAACCCAGGAAAGATCTGGGACAAGAGATCATCATTGACTTGCATCCTCCTCCTCTAGCCAGGCAGGGCACTCCATCCCCAGCAAAAGCAAAGGCACAGAAACAAAACATACTTTATTTAGTAAAATCTCGTGTGGGCCAGACATGGGCAGATGTGTGCAGGGTTAGAGGTGTGGGTGGTGGGGTCTACAGCACAGCTGGGACCAGACTTGGGGAGAGGACGTGGTAATAATGGAGGAGGTAGAGGTCAGAAGACAAAGTGGTGGGCAGTCCTTTGGTAAATCATCAGGAGTCCTTCCTGGCCTGATGAGGAGGGGTGTGGCTGTCCATCAAAGTCTAGAGAAGCCCAGTCCCCAGAAACAGTGGGAGCTCTCCTCTGGATAGGCCATCTTGTGGTCCCAAAAGCCACAGCAGCAAGCAGCCTTCACTTTTGGTCCCACAGTTCCAGCTTGGCTTCCAAGATGGTGTTGCTCAAAGTGAAGAAGAATCCAGACACAAATTTATCCAAAGGTGAAATATGCCAACAGCAGAGCCCAAGTGGGAGTCTGGGTCATCTTAAAGAGATACCTTCCCCTCCCCCATTAAAAAAAAAAAAAAGCAAAAAACAAAATAAGAACCAAACCCAAAGCTGTCAGGCATCACCACTTCTCAATGGCTCCAGCTCAAGGGCTAAGGCTCCCTGGTTAATGGAGCCTCATTCCCCTGCTAGCATCAAACGTAATTCTTGGTGGGGTACTCAGAGGGTCCCCGAGAGGGGGAATGCGGGGCAGATGCTGAATAGCGGGCCATGTAATGGCTGGAGCTCCGGGCCTCTCCAGAGGGGCAGGTGCAGCACAGCAGTCCCCCACCCAGCATCAGAAGGCCACAGGCTGCCCAGCCCAAATACAGGGAGGCCCCCAGCTCTCTCTTCTGGGCCTCAGCCACCAGAGGGTTGTAGAAGTCCTGGATGATGGTGTGGGCTGTCCAGCAGACTGGGATCAAGGTTAGAACCCCTGAGATGACAAAGATGATCCCAGAAGTGAGCACCAGGCGGGCCTTGGAATCCTGGTCCTCCACACAGGTGGTGCACTTAGCCCCAGCAAGGTAGACCAGCAGGCCAACCAGGGCCAAAAGGAGGGTGATGACACAGAGGGCACGTGCAGCCTGCAGGTCCTGGGGCAGTGCCAGCAGCGAGTCATACACCTTGCACTGCATCTGGCCAGTGCTCTGCACCACGCAGGACATCCACAGCCCCTCCCACACCACCTGGGCCACCACAATGCTGTTGCCGATGAAAGCGGTCACCTTCCACAGGGGCAGGGTGCAGGAAATCAGAGCCTTTACCCAGCCCAGCAAAGCTAGGACAATTCCCAGGATCTGCAGACCAGCAGAGGCCATGGCAAGGTTGAAGGGGCTACATTACATGGGAGAACAAAAGCAGAAGAATGTTAAAGGGTGGCTGGCCCAGACCTTATGTCACAGCTGTGACTCCACACAGGATGCCAACAGCAGGAACCCCGGGAGTTGTCCACAGGTCCTGATATTGGAGCAAGCTGTACTCTGTGAGCCTCATTTACTCACGGTCAAAATTAGCATTTAATGCCTCCCTAGTTAATCACCTCTTCCCCAATAATGAAGGTTGCCCAGGTTTCTCCCACCAGGTGCGGCTGTCCAGCCTGGCCCAGCCTTGGAGGGGCAGGCAAGGTGCGGGGGTGACAAGGAGTTCCTTCTGGAAGGCCACCCCAATGACTGCCTGGGTTCACCCTCACTCTCCTTTGAGGGGCCAAGGAGTGAGCCCTCAAAATTGGGGAACTTTTTGTGCGTATTTAAACCAAAAGGCCATGTTAGGGTCCCAAGAGGAGATAAAACCCGAGGGTCTGTTCAGCTGTTCCTCCACCACTAAGCTGGCTGCACCTGTGTTGGTCAGGCCCAAGATGTCGGGCTCACCAACCGAGGGGGATCTGCCGGATCTAGCTACCCGAGGTTTCGCCCCCTAATGCGTCCCTACCCTCCTCTCCTTCCCTTTCCACATACTATGGCTTGACTCTGTGCGAGGGCACCCGGGCGGGTTCCACCACAGACCCCCTGGGCCACAGCTACAAGGCACTGAGCGCCGGGAGGGCCTTAATGGCGCGCCGGCCGCAGGGTTCCCTCCCGCAGGTGAGGGGGAGGGGAGTCCCGCCCTGGAGAGGAAGGCAGGTGGGGGAGGGGCTCGCGGAGTTTCGGTGCCTTTGTCCCTGGGGAGGGGGAGGGGCGTTTAACCCTTCTGGAACTGCGGAAGGACTGGATCCCCTCAATACAGCCTCAGGCCCAGGGACTTGCCCACCAGGTGGCCCCGAACGCGTCCCACCCAAGACCCCTGCGCTAGGCTCCGCAAGGTGTGTCTCCCAAGCCCAATACACACACTAGCCCCGGGCTCACCTGCGTGAAAGACCTGAAAGATCCGTAGGCCGAGTGTGGGGACGGGGGGGCGGAGACGGGGGTCTTAAAGAGGCAATGACGTCACTGGGCCACCTCCCCCGGGGAGGGGCAGAGACCCCGACCCGATCCGCAGTGGGCGCGAACGCTTCCCAAGCTAGTCAGAGAGGGGCGCTAGAGACCCAGACTGCTGCACCTGCAACCGGTTGGGATTTGGGGACCCTGGTTGGCTGACACCTCAGCCACCACTTATTAGCACTGTGACCTCGGGAATTCATTCAACTTTCCCAAGCCTCAGTTTTCTACTCTGAAAAATGAAGACAGCAAGCATGCATTTTAGTATGTATGTCCTAAGGTATAAATTAAAGAGAACATTATTACACTACTGGAGTGACTCTGAATCATGTACAGCCAGAGGAATGAGAAGTTGTGCTCCATTTGTGTACCATATGTCAAAATACATTCTACTGTAAAATTAATTAATTTCAAAAAGGAACATAATTTTTGCTATTGTTGCAGCCCCGGAGGGGGGGGGGCCCTTAAGAAAGCAGCAGTTAGCCTCACGCAGTGGCGCACGCCTGTAATCCCAGCGGCTCCTGGAGGCTGAAGCAGGAAGATCGAGAGTTCAAAGCAGCCTCCGCAATTTAGCGAGGCCCTAAGCAACTCAGTGAGACCCTGTCTCTAAATAAAATATATAAAAAAGGGCTGGGGATGTGGCTTAGTGACTAAGCGCACCTGGGTTGAAACCCCAGCACCAAAAATTAAATTAAATTAAAATTTAAAAACCAGCAGTTACCCCCTGATTTAAAGAACCTTTGGTCATGTATAATTAATTGGAACAATTTTTTTTTTGTAAAGAATCTTTGAGAGGACTGGGATGTAACTCAGTGGTAGAGTGCTAGTGCAGGAGGTCCTGGGTTTGATCCTCAGCTTTGCAAAACAAAATAAAATTTTTTGAAAGATCTCACAGAGTTAAAAATTATATAAGAAATCAGTAATTATTTTTATGGGTTGTTTCATATCTGATTCACCCTATCCCACAAGTTCCGGATTTGAGCGCCGAATGGGCAGAGCCGGATCCGCATGCTTGCAGAGTACTGGAAGCCTTCAGCGCTGGGACTGTTTGTTGAAAGAATGACTGAAGGTAGCGGGCCGCACAGGGAGGAGCATCCCGGAGCGGATGGCCGGGCTGGAGGAGGCCAGGGCCCCGCCCCGGAAGGCGGGGGCGGGGGCGGGGCGGCGATACCCTGTCTCAGCCGCTCGGCGGCCGGTGCAGACGGCAGTGGCCTCCCGGCGCTTACTATGGCTCTTGACTCGGTGCGCCCGATGCTGCGGCTCCTCGTGCTGGGGCTCGGGCTGGGGCTGCTACGCGCCGCAACCGGGGAGCAGGCACCAGGTATGCGGGGCACAGGGGCTGGGAGCCAAGATTGGGTGCCTGGAGGACCATCCGGAACTGGGAAACGGGACGGACGTAGAGATCCGGGGTCAGGTGGTCCTCAGACTCCGTGTGTTCTAGTGGGGAAGGTCCAGCACACTCCCAAGTTTCATTCCTACTCTGGGCTCTCAGTTTCTCTGCATGTCCAATTGGGGTGTGGGGTCTTCTGCCCCAAAAGTCCGTGCCAGAAGTGGAGAGGAAGTTTAAGGGCGGGAGGTTTCTTCGGTAAGAGGGCACACCCCCAGCCTGGTCTTTAAGGGTCTACCCAGCCCCAGTGATTGAAGAGTCGGGGGGGGGAGGGTGTTGGGAATTCTGGGGGTCTGTACCTTCTATACCATGTGGGGTGCCCCCTTCCATCCGGTGACTTCAGTGCCCAGCTATGCGGGAGGAGGGACCGGGGTCGGGCCGGGTGCCCAGGAGTGAGTCACCCACTGGCGGCGGGGGGGTTGTGGGGACCTGACCCCTCTCCCCAAAGTTCCACGCTACTACCCCCACCCGCACTGCCATCTCCCGGTCATGCCGTTCGGTCACCTGTGAGGAATGCGGGGGGGGGAGGGCGCCGGTGACTCACGTTATTCGAGCCGACCGACCCTGACCTCAGCCCCCAGAATAGCCGCGTCCCGCCCCCATCCTAACCCGCTGCCCCCTCCCCAGGCACCGCCCCCTGCTCTAGCGGCAGTTCCTGGAGCGCGGACCTGGACAAGTGCATGGACTGTGCGTCGTGTCCCGCGCGACCGCACAGTGACTTCTGCCTGGGCTGTAAGTGGGGTGCGGGTCCGGCGGCAAGTGGACCTCAGTGGAGCCGAGAGGGTAGCTGCGGGGGGGGGGGCTAGAGGGCTTCGGATCTGGGAAATTAATCCCCAGAAGGCGCAAGTGGGGTGCAAGCTTGAGGCTCAGTTCTAGGGGGCGGGGCTGGTCCGGAGAGGGTCGAAGTCTGACTTGAATCTTGGTCCCCAGGCGCTGCGGCACCTCCCGCCCCCTTCCGGCTGCTTTGGCCCATCCTGGGGGGTGCCCTGAGCCTGGCCCTGGTGCTGGCACTGCTTTCTGCCTTCCTGGTCTGGAGACGGTGCCGCAGGAGAGAGAAGTTTACCAGTAAGTGTGCCCCGCCAAGCCGCCTACCCCATCGATCTTCCACATTTCAGCTGCTCATGACCCACGTCTTATCTTGCAGCCCCCATAGAGGAGACTGGTGGAGAGGGCTGTCCAGGTGTGGCGCTGATCCAGTGACTGAGCACCCCCACCGACTGTGCGGCACTCACTCAATCCGTTCATTCATTTGTTCATTCATTCTGGAGCCAGCTCCTGCCTCCCAGACACAGGCCTAGCCAGGTTCCTCCAACCACAGGCGGGGCAGGCAGTGAATCATCCCTGAGGCCTGGGCCCAGGGTTCAGGAGAGCCTTCCAAGGAGTCTGATTGCCCTATGTCTGTCTGGTTCCAGGACAGAAAGGGAGCCTCAAGCTGGCTCACACTAAGAAACTGCAGCATTTGCACAAGGGGGGGTCTCTCCCTTCCCCTGATGCCCTGAATGCCAGGCTGACTTCAGGGGCAGACACAACACTAGGCCCGACCCACACAGATGGACTGAAACTCCTCTAGGGGTCCTCATCTTGGGGGATTAGGGCCCTGTTCTTATAGGGGGCTGGCCCTCTAGGAGGGCTGGCCCTAAAATACAGACCCCTGCAACCCAAAGGGGGGAGGAGATATTTATTTTGGGGAGAACTTTAGAGTGGTGGGAGAATTTATTAATAAAAGAATCTTTAACTTTAAATGGTTTGGAGTGTGGCATGATCCTGGGCTTGACTCCCCAGAGCTAGAGGGAGGGAGTGAGTCAGGCTGCCGCGCGGGGGCGGAGGGGGGGGTGAGGCTCTGACTCACACATTCTCAATGCCTGGAGCCCAGCCTGCCAGGACCTGGCCAGCCGTTTTCCAGGGAAGATCTTGAGGAGAAACACCAGCATCCAGCACCCCACCCTTCCCAAAGGCCTCAGGTTTCAGACTGAAGACTTCAATTGTTCAGCAATTTTTAATTCCCTTTTTCAGGGCATACATCCCCTTCCCCTGCTGCTGCCCTCCCATCCCAAGGTCCCATTGAGTTCAGTGTCCTCCTCTCTTGAGGGAAGGTCCTGTTACCCAAACACCAATCTGGAGGAAGATAAACAAGCAAGCACCTTGTCCCTTCCTGAGGGTTGCAGTCTCCTCTAGGGAAAGACATGGGGAATGATGTTGCCCACTATTGCTCAGAGGTCCATTATGTCCCCAGCTGGGGTTGCAGGATAGTGGGGACTAGGAGTATCCCCCAGCCTGAGCAGCCGAAGAGTCTCAGGGATTAAATTCCCAGGATAGCGCCAGAGAAGTAGTTCTGAGCAAGGACTCCTGGAAGAAGAAGAAATGACAGTCAAGACACTGGGCTGAAAACTGCCTGGACCTGGTGGGTCCAGGTTTCTCGGAGTCAAGATGTGAATCAGCACAGAAATTGACTACAAGTTAAAAATAGCATGATGAGGCAGGATATGATGAGTGGCAGCTCTGAGGACCCATTATGATCCTCTGGAAGACTTAGTGGAGATGCCTACCTCAGTGAGGGCAGGGCAGGTGGAAAAGCCATGGGGGGGCTGCAGTAAGGGTGGTCATTATGTAGGCTCAGTCGAGAGAAGTGGGTGGCCATGTTCTCCTCAGACAGAAACTGCTTTCGTAAGGGCTCCCTGGGAAGAGATGGGGAGGAAGGCAGGCAGGGATATTAAGAGGGGAGGTAGATTGGTGGGCATCAGAGGAGACTGATATTGGAAGTCCTCCCTGCCCTCAAACTCACTGCTCCTCCTCCAGGCGCCGCTTGGTGCTCATGGGCATAGCTCCTCGGAGAGGGGAGCTGGGAAAAAGAGAGAGCCAGGAGCACCCCACCTTTGGCCCCTTCCCAAAAATCTATCCACCTGAGCTTGCAGCATCAGCACCTGAGCACCCAGCCCATTCCTGTGATGATGGCACCTAAGCCACCCCTTCTGGTCATCAGAATACCTGGAAGGTCTAAACCCCAAGCTCCCAGCCTCAGCCATACCTCAGCTTAAGTCCCACAGTTTGCTCCACCCGGTATCAACCCTTAGGCCAGCCATGAGTCCCCAGCCAAAGCTGCGCTCCTCAGTCGTACCAACCCAGGGATCCCATACGTACCTGGCGTCCTGGCCTCGAGTCGCCCCTGAGGCGGTCCGTGGATCGTGAAGGGCCCGACSTGGGGGGCCCCGCTCCAGGGGCTGCTGAAGGATCATTGGGGTTCAGGGTATTAAGGCAGGAGGGGTAGGATCCGGGTGATAGGGGCGGAGCCTCCGAGGGCGTGACCCACTGCGAGGGGCGTGGCTTCTGGCGCGCGCAGTGGCGAGGCCTGCGCAGGCGCGGAAGACGAGCGGCGCGTGGCTGGAAGGCGCGTAGGTTCGGCGGGGTGGGGGAGGGGTCCCGACGTAACAGGGCAGCGGCGCCACTTAGTGTCGAGGGGCTTCGCGGCGCTCTCCTCTGTTTTTGGGGTGCGTGAAGCACGTGGTAGCCACTTTTCGCGCTCGGCCGGCCGGTAGTGTCGAGACACTGTGCCGCGGAGGGTAGCCGCCTGCGCGTACGTCCGGAGTCAGAAGGCTACGTTCCGCGCGGAGCACTCTGGGAATAGTAGTTCCTGCGATGGAGCGCGCTGCCCCGCTAGCGGTGCCTCTGGGTCAGGTGAGTGGGTTTTGTGCGCGGTGCCTTCTGGGGATTGTAGTCCATGCTTTGCTTGAATGGGATGGACAAGGAAAGATGAGGCAGCCCTGGTTTGCGTGGGCGGTTTGTGGGATTTGGACTCTAATGGGGGGAGGGACAGGAGAGTAACCCAGAAGGGCCTAACTTGGATAGGAATTAGATGTTGGTACCGGTTTTTTTGTGCAGGAAAAATAGAGCCATTTAAAAAACAAAATAGTTGAGGCCTGAAACGGAGACACGCCTGGGGACTCGAGGCTCAGGCAGGAACATCACAAGTTCGAGGCCAGCCCTAGCTACATGGCAAGACCCTGGCTCAAATTAAAAAGAACTGGGAACCTCTCGAGGTGGCACACGCGTGTATTCCCAGCTCCTTGGGAGACTGAGGCAGGAGGATTGCAAGTTCAAGGCCAGCCTAACCAACTGATCGAGGTCATATGCAACTTAGTGAGACCCCATCTAGAAATTTAAAAAATAAAAAGGGACAGGAATTTAGCTCAGTGGTAAAGCACCCCGCTTCAATCCCCAGTGCCAATAAATAATAACAACAACAACAATAATAATAATAATAATAAAAAGACCTGGGGATGTAGCTCAATTGTAAAGGGCCCCTGGGTTCAATACCTAGTACCCACCACCCCCAAATTAACAGAATAACTGTAGAAGAGACACTGTTTTGTGATGCTGGAGATCAGTCCCAAGACCTTATCCACGCCAAGTATGCGCTGCACTGCCAGCCCCAAAGTACCAGTTTTTAAGCACTTTCTATGTGACAGCCCCATGTGAAGCTCTTTATATACATTAGCTCACCTAATTGTGATAGACTCTCCTGTGACCTCCATCTGACCACGGGAGAAACTGATAAGAGAGGTTTTGGTGCTTGCTTAGTGGTCCACTAGACATCATTTCTGCTCCTCTTTCCTCACCCTCTTCTTGGAGCCACTCTTGGTTATGCATGGGCAAAGTGCCTTTGTGGTGGGTCACCTCAAAAGAGGGCTGAGAAGTCTTGGCAGTGGGAAGCCAGGCCTGTGGCAGGGAAGGCATGAAGAAGTCTGTAATTGGGGGCCTCATCCAGCTTCTCCCCACAGACAGAGGTGTTTCAGGCCCTGCAGCGGCTGCACATGACCATCTTCTCCCAGAGTGTCTCACCCTGTGGGAAGTTCCTGGCGGCAGGCAACAATTATGGGCAGATTGCTATCTTCAGGTACTCTTGTCCCTTGCTCCCTACCATGTGTGAATCCTGGTATTTGGCCCTCCTGCTTCTGACCTGGCCTTGCCTCCCCCCTGCAGCCTGTCTGCTGCTTTGAGTTCAGAGGCCAAAGAGGAAAGCAAGAAACCCGTGGTGACTTTCCAAGGTGGGTATAGCCATCAAGTCTGGCTTAGAGGACCCTGAGTGGAAGAGGGGACAGGGTGGGCTAAGGTTCTTCATTTCTTTTCAGCCCATGATGGGCCCGTCTACAGCATGGTCTCCACTGATCGACACCTGCTCAGTGCTGGCGATGGGGAGGTGAAGGCCTGGCTTTGGGCAGAGATCCTCAAGAAGGTAAAGAGTCTAGTGGCTGGGGAAGGGTTGGCCTGCCCGATGCCAGGGAGAGCCTTTGAGGTCACCTGGTGTTTTCCCTTACAAAGGGCTGTAAGGAACTGTGGCGTCGTCAGCCCCCATACAGGTGAGCCAGGGCCACTTGGGTGGAAGGCAGGTAGGGTGAGGGCACTAGCCTCACTGATGCTGACCCTGCTTTTTATCCCCCAGGACCAGCCTGGAAGTGCCTGAGATCAATGCCTTGCTGCTTGTCCCCAAGGTCTGATCCCTTTATGACAGTCTGATCCTTCATCCTCTCCCTGTCTTGATTTGACACTGACTTCTAGCTCTGCCCTGCTTTCCTTTGCAGGAGAATTCCCTCATCCTGGCTGGGGGAGACTGTCAGTTGCACACTATGGACCTTGAAACTGGGACTTTCACGGTGGGTGAGCAGGGCCCTGGAACTGGGGCAGATCAGAGCCAGGGGGAGGCACTCTTCCTGGGTCCCCCTTTACCCTGACTCTCTCCTGCAGCGGGCCCTCCGGGGCCACACAGACTACATCCACTGCCTGGCACTGCGGGAACGAAGCCCTGAGGTGCTGTCAGGTGGCGAGGATGGGGCTGTGCGACTCTGGGGTAAGTGGGTACAATTGGATGGTAAAATAGGTAAGGGAGGCTGGGAATGGTAGGGCTCATAGGGAGCTCTCATGATTCTTTCCCCACAGATCTCCGAACGGTCAGAGAGGTCCAGACAATTGAGGTCTATAAGCACGAGGTGAGGACAGGACTCATACCTCTGTTCTCTATGCCCCCAACTCCCCAAAGTTGTCTTCACCTTTTCCCTCCCCCGTCAGGAGTGTTCAAGGCCACACAACGGGCGCTGGATTGGATGCTTGGCCACTGACTCAGACTGGATGGTGAGCCTGCAAATTGTGTGGTCAGATGGGGTGGCAGCTCTGGGCCCTGTCAGCTGAGGGCCCATGGCTCTCAGTGGCTAGGGACTCCTACCTTTCTTCCCAGGTCTGTGGAGGGGGCCCAGCCCTCACCCTCTGGCACCTCCGGTCCTCCACACCCACCACCATCTTTCCAATGCGGGCACCACAGAAGCATGTCACCTTCTACCAGGACCTGGTAAGTCCCTCTGTTTCACTTCTGCCACCCCTGCCTGGCTCCCCTCTCTAGTCCTGACCCCACTCCCTGTCCTCCACAGATTCTGTCAGCTGGCCAGGGTCGCTGCGTAAACCACTGGCAGCTGAGCGGAGAGCTTAAGGCCCAGGTGCCTGGATCTTCCCCAGGACTGCTCAGCCTTAGCCTCAACCAGCAGCCAGCAGCCCCTGAGTGCAAGGTGGGTGAAGCAAGGGGCTCTGGAGAGTCACTGGAGCCTTGGGGAGTGTTGGCAGGTCAGTCATACCCTTCTTGTCCCTAGGTCCTGACAGTCGCTGGCAGCAGCTGCCGGGTGGATGTTTTCACCAACCTGGGGTACCGAGCCTTCTCCCTGTCCTTCTAACATCCGACAACATACCCCCACCTTAGGGATTTGGAGTGTTTATCTTTTTTCTTTCTTTCTTTCTTTTTCTACAATAAAGTTTCAGGCTTTTCTTCCATGTGCTTCCTTCCCAAGAATGGAGGCCAAGTCCATCTAGTGGTTTATATATTACTCTGTCTGTTCTTGATACATAAATACCCACACCCACCCCTGCCCTGGAGCAGCCAGAGACTCAGGGAGCCTAGCACTTAGAAATGATAGACCTATACAGATTGCGAAAATAGAAGCTCTGTTGCACCTGCCCCCGCCACCCACCTGGGGTCTCTAGCCCYGAAGCTGCCCCTACTCCCATAGAGCCCCTGTCTAGCCTCCTGGGGTGAAGAGGGCGCCAACCCCACTTGGAAGACATCCAGGCCCTGCTGCTCCATTGGCCCTTAGAGGAAAGTATGCCCCAGAATGAGTCAAGGCTGGTCGCCTTGGCCCAGCCCTCAGGTCCTTCGGAAAAGGTTGCTGAGGAAGCCGCCGGCAGGCCCGGGGCCCAGGCGCAGTGAGAAGCGTGCTGTGGAGCGGCGTGGGGTCGATGCTGCCGCGCTCAACTCGTTCTGGCGCTGTGAGCGCAGCTGCTGCCCGATCACCACCTGCATGTCGTCCTGCGGGAGGAGGGGCGAGAGGAGGTCAGCGCTCAGGTCCCACTTGCCCCAGGCCCCGGCCCCGGCCCCGGCCCCGCCCCCGCCGCTCACCTGCCAGGCCTCCAGCTCCTGCGTCAGCGCCACCTTCTGGCGGATGGTGCGCAGCAGCTCCCGGGACAGGGAGTCCCTCTCCAGCGAAACGCGGCTGAGCTCCAGGGACAGTTCCACGGCCCTGCCGGCGGAAAACAAGTCCGAGGGCGCCGGGGACTCCAGGAGCCAGGATGGTAGTGGGCTCCTGGGCCACGACGGGAGGGGGCTCGCTAACAGCAAGACCACGGAGGGCAGAGGGCCCCTGGGCCGGGGTGGGGATAATAACCCATATGGTGGAGAGCAATTAAGAGCACAGAAGGACCAGAGTACCGAGGGGGCTTGTCTCCCCGCTGGGGCGGTGGTGAAGGGTGGCAATGGCTCACTTGTTCACAGCCTCGTCACGGTCCAAGAGGGCGCAGTTTAGGGCCTCCGCGGGATTGTCCTCTGCCCGCAGCTCCTTCTGCCTTTGCAACTCCTCCCTCAAGGTCTGCAGCTCTTCCCGCTGCAGTGTGATCTGCACAGGGGAGCAGCAGAAAGGTGGGTCCCGGGCAGCCTAGGCTCCAGTTCTCCCTGGCTCCCCCTCCTGCTCCACTGTGCAGAAGGCTCATGGATTCAGAGGCCCTCAGGCTGGTGCACGGTGGGGTGGGGCAAGCCTGGTAAGGTGGTATTTGCAGAAAGGTAGCTGGAAGAGGCAGTGCGTGTATGGGAGGGACAATGCGCCTGTGGGGGCCGTATACATTAGTTCTTTTTGAGACAGGGTCTTCCTAAGTTGCCGAAGGTCTCCTTAAGTTGATGAGGCTGGTCTCAAACTAGCCATCCACCTGCCTCAGCCTCCCAGTTGCTGGAATTACAGGCATGTGCCATTACAAATTCATGTATAGAAGGCTGAGTGAGCACAGGATGGGAAGTGGAGGTGGGAATGAACTGGGGAGCTTATGGGACTCTACATCCAGCACTAAGCCCTTCCCCCACCTCATCTTGCAGCCTAGCCACTTCCTCTTCCTTCTCTTCTAGTATCTCCACTGGGCTTAGAGGTGCTCGCTTCTTAGGGGGCTCCAAGCTCTCCTCCTGGGGTGAAGATGGGGGTCTGGATGCCTCTTGGGTCTCCAGGGATGGGGTGATCTGTGGGCCAAAGGAATCAGTCAGTACCCTAGCTGAATCAGGAATCAGCGCCCCTAGCTGATGATACTGGTTGGGGGCTCATGGACTGCGAGCTTACCTGGGTGTCTCCACATACACTGGTGCCCTTGTCCTCGTACTGGTGGCCTTCGAGGCTGTGGGCCAACTCCGATTGCAGTGAGGCACTAGAGACGTTGGCGTCCTGAAGGCGTGACTCCTCTTCCAGCTCCAAGACGCGCCGCTGCAGCCTCCGCAGGGCGCTCAGCACTTCCCCAGCCTCAAGGCGAGCACGTTCCAGCTGCAGAGGGCCAGAGGGCAGTCAGCCTGAATGCCAGCGCCTGCATCTGGTGGTGGCCCACAGAGGGCGCCCGAGCGCCGGCAGCCTTGAGCCTCAGCAGCCCAGTGCTGCAGTTTCTGGAGCGCAGAACTACTTCCCCTGGACGGATGTCAATTTCCTCCGCTATAAAATAGGGCGCGCCGGGCATCATCCTTGCCTGTTCCACCTATCAGGTCACTTCACAGCGCAGTCCCCTCCCCTGTCCAGTCTAACTTCTAATTCTCACTAATTGCTTAGATCCAACTCCTAAGCCTCATGCCTCACCACAGCCCAGAGGTGGGTGCCATTACCATTCCGTATCACAAATGGGAAAACAGGCTGGGCGCTCCACAATAGTAACAAGAGACAGTGGGATAAAAAGCCAGGCAATCCAGAGCACATATCTCTGAGGTCTCAAATATCAGAGGTCCTTCCCTTTTTTGTTCCTTTTCTCCATCACTACGACTCCAGATGTGGATAGTCTAGACCAGGCATTTCTGGCCTGAACCCGGGTCTTAGCCCTCTCCCAAGTCTCCCAGCCACCAGGCTCTGATGCATTGAGAGCACACCTCCCCTGCTCAACAGCCCACTGTGGCTCCCACTTGCCTCAGGCTCATGCCCACGTTTTTGTGACCCAGGTGCTGGGTTTCCAGTGATCAAGGGCTACATGACCCAGAAAGCCCTGAGGCTGTTGCTAAGGACCCAGCTGTCCCCCTCCCCCATAGTTCACCTCGAGGCTGTGCTCCTTCTTCTCCCTCCGTAGCAGCAGCAACTCCTCATGAGTAGTCTGCAGTCTGCCCTGGCCCTTGTCCACCTCCTCACGCAGGCTTCGGATCTGTGCCTCCAGGTCCTGCCGGCGGCTCTGCAGCATCTGGTTCTGGGGGAAGGTCTCAGGGTGGGGTGGGAAGAGTGGGCCAGCCCCATGGAGCCCCCAGCCCAGTCTTTCTGGTTCAAGCTGACCCCCAACCCTTAACCCCCAGCCCCAGCAGGCACTCACCTCCCCCTGCAGACTCTCTAGCCGCGTTCTTAGCTCTGCCCCAGCCAGGGCCTGAGCCTGGCACTGACCCCGAAGGGCGTCTAGTTCTCTCTGGAGCTCCTGCTCAGTCTGGGAGGCCTGGGTGGGGGAGGGGGCAGGGGAGCCCTCAGCTGGCTCAAGCTGATTCCCACTGGCCCCACCCCACCCAGGCCCAGGGATCAAGGCAGTCCCACCTGGGCCAGCTGCTGGCTGAGCCGGAGGTTCTGCTCACTGAGCTCACTGAGCGCCTGTGCGCGCTGGCGGCCACTGTCCTGTTGCTCTGAGCGCTGCTCTCCCAGCTGGGCCCTCAGCGCCTCCACGTCCCCCTCCAGCTCCACAGCCCTGGCCTCCCACTCAGCGCCCCGGGCTGCCAGGCCCCTGCGGAGCTCATGGTTCTCTTGCTGCAGTCGCTGTGGGACCAGGCAGAGGGTCAGACACAGAAGGAGACATAGGATTGGAGCAGACCCAGAGATGGGGATGGAGGGACAGACAACCAGAGACCAGTTGGCCAGGAAGGGGACGCTCTTGGCACACTGAGTGAGACCTGAAAGCTAGAGAGGAGAGTCAGGGAGAAAGCACGACACAGCACAGCCCAGAGAATCAGAAGGCAGCAGAGGAAAGCAAGAGAGAGAAGGGGCCAGGCCAGGCAGGACGGTGATGCTGGCTGCGGGGCGTGGAACTCCCCAATGGCCACTCACCTCTGGCTGCTGCCTGAGCTTCCGGACCCGAGGTCGCAAGCGCCGTTTTTGGCGCCTGATTCTGGCTGAATTTAAGCCCCGGCCCATTATGGCTTCACACAGCTGCAGTGTCCTGGGGGCTTTGCAGGCCCAGTCTCTGCCCAGCCCCTCTCCCCCAGTTCCCTCTAATTAACTCTGGTCAGCCCCGCCCTGGCCCCACGCCTCTGCCTGCCATCCCCAAAACCTGTTGGACCAGCGGGGGGACGCGCTTGGCACACCCAGGTGCCCAGCATGAGGAGACAGACAAGTTGGGGGGCTACTCTCTCTAGGTCCTCAAGGCACAAAGGCCTGGGCCAGGTGACAGTAACCATGATTGTTACAACTATTAGCAAGTATTCCTGCCAGCTGCCTGTCAGAGCTTACCTGGGCCATTTTATTCAATCCACTAGAGAATGCTTAACAGACTCAGGGGGGCTGAATGCCTTGCCCAAGGACACAGTTAGTGGAGCAGGGGTGCCAACAGGCAGCAATGTCTTAACCAAATACTGTGGGGGCAGCCCTGCTGAAGGATGAAGCTGGCAGGTTAGGATCCCATTGTCCTGGCCCTGCTGCTGCTGCCATGTGGTCGGGACAAGTCTCTTTAATGTGTCCATGTTTCATCCCTCCCTCCCTCCATCATCCACCATCCATTCTCCATCTCTCCATCCAATATTTCCTGAGTTCCTGTTCTGGGGTCTCTAAGTCGATAGACCACCAAGTCCACTGCCTCAAGCAGCTTAGTGTCCAGAGGGCCACAGGCAAATGGATACAGACTTGAGCCAGGTAATCTGAGAGACAGTAAGGGCCGTGAAGAAACCTGCAAAGTGGTGAAGAACAACCGGGGTGGGGGGTGGGGGGGAGCTGTCAAGGAGGCATTGATTGGGTTGACTCCTGTAGTCAACCAGGAGGAGGGCTGTGAAACAGCAAGATAAGGGCCCTGCAGGAGCAAGCTGCAGTCACTCTGAGAATTGAAAAAGAGAAGTGGGTGGGAAGGATGGCAAAGCCAACAGGTCAGGGAGGCCAGTGGACTTGAGGGACTCTTAGGCTGTGGCAAGAGTTTCAGTTTCATCTTAAGTGTGATGGGGAGCCATGGGAAGATTCTGAGCCAGGAGAGAAATGATCTGATTTGCAGTGTTTGAAGTTCACTGGCTGCTCCTTGGGAATGGGTTCCAGGAGGCAAGAGGAGTCAGTGATAGGGCACTGAAATGCCTTGAGCAGAAGCAATGCCCAGGGCTGCCATCAATGTAGAGGCTGCAGAAGTGAAAAGTGGGACAGATTTGGAAGCTAGTGTATAGGATTCAATGGGGTTTGCAGATGCGGGGGATAGTGCATGCCTATGGGGAACCAAGTGTCACATTGAGATGTTATTAGGTTAGCTTGGTGGGAGAGGTGCAGGGCAAATGATTGCCCAGGTCAGCTCAGAGTGGGGATTGGGCCAACAATGCAAGTACACAAGGAAGCTTAGGAGTCCAGATGTGAGCCCCAGCCTGGGCAGAGGGAAGAACTGTTCCCACTTCATGAGGCTAGGCAAAAATGAACTGAGATGATGCTTGGAGGGGACTTGGCCAGGTGAAGGCAGGGAGTGGCTCTCAGCACCTGTTAGGTGAGAAGCCAGAGAGCCACAAGGGTCTGTGGCCTAGATCTTGACTTGTCCTCAAAAGTCTTTTATTTATTTATTTAGTTTTTTTGATGCTTGGGATCCAAACCAGGGTCTCACGCGTACGAGGCAAATGCTCTACTCCAACTTAGAATTTTTGTTCTTAACCACTGGGCAACATTGCCAGGACAACAGGCCATCCCTGAACTGTTCAGAGGCATCCTCCTGCGCACCTGTTCTCCCCCTGCCACCCACCTGCCCCATGCTCTTGTCTCCTCTCCTTGTGTGGTCCCCTTCTCTGGTCCACCCCAGGCATGCCTGTTTTCCACCTGCCCTCCGCCCAGGCCCTACAGCCAGCTCACTTCCTCGTGCTCAGCGTGTTGGGCACTCAGTGTCTCCAGCTGCCTCCGCAGCTCCTCGTTGCGCTCCAGAAGCATCTTGCCCAGTTCTGCCGCCAGCAACAGGTCTTTCTCCTTCTGCTGCAGCTGCAAGGCCAGGTCCTCAGGCTCCTCAGGCCCTGGGCCCCCTCCCAGGAATGAGTCTCTTCGCTCCAGCACAAAGGGGAAGAAGCCATCCTCGCCACTGGGGGAGGCAGCCCCGGAGAGCAGCCCTGACCGGAATCGTGGCCCATCTGGGGAGCTCATGACATCTGCAGCATCTGTGGGGACAGATGGCTGTATGACATACCACCTCACAGCCCTTCAGGCTTGCCCCCTGCTGGCCAATACCTGGCCATCCCAGTCCTGCAACCTCAACCTCCCTGGGCCACCAAGGGTTAATGATCTGTGTTTTGGCCACCCAGTTCCGTTAATGTCCCCAGGGTAGAGTGGGTAGACTGAGGCAGAAAGCAGAAATGAACTTCTTTGCCTTCGGCTTTTGTCCCAGGAAGCCTCTTCTCAGTACTCTGGAACCACAGACCACCCCCGACAGTCCCTGCTTCCTTCTCACAACCTGCTGTGGCTCCCAGCCCCTCACTAGGGGGCAAAATTTCCCAAACCCAGCTTCCTAAGGACTCTGAGGGTTGAATCCAACTTCTCTCAAGGATGCAGGACCCTCCCCTCACCTTTGAGGACTTTGGTGTCCTGACACCTTTGCCCTAGGAACCCAGTACCCTCCCCTGGCAGAAGCCCAGCTCCCCCCTCACTGCCCTCCCTAGGCCTTCTTCTATTATCTCAGGACCCAGGGGTCTGTTCTCGACCCCTGCAGACCTGGAGTCCTCACCCTCAGCGTCCACCCTCCTGGATTCCCAACAAAGTCCCCCGATTTTTGCAAGACCAAGCAGGTCCCGCCCCCACCCCTCTGGATTCAAGAACGCTCACGTCCAGACCCCCGGGTTCCCAGGGCCCTGGCGTCTGGCCCAGGGCAGGGCGAGGTAACAGGTTGTGCCGGCCAGCGCGCAGCCGCCGCCACTCCGGGTTTCTGTTTACTTCCCGGCCCGCCCCTGGGGACCCGAGCCCTGTGATCCCCGATGGCCTCCCGGGGCCCAGGGTCCAGGGGCTCAGGTCACACGGGTTACCTGCTCAAGCTCTCTCGAGGGTCCCGCCCCCTAGACACACCTGAGAGCGCGTACACGCGCACCTGTCCTCCCTTCCCTTGCCGGTGTCCCAGCTCAGCCCTGCCCGCGGAGCCCAGGTGTCGCGGTAGTTCCAGTCCAGCTGCACCAGGATCGCATAGAGGATCTCCCTGACCCCAGTCCCAGGCGTTCGAAACCCGGCCACCACCTTCCCTCCTGCCAGTGTCCCCACTTCCCGGAGGAGCCAGGCGACCGCCCGGCTGCCCCGGTACCCCTCCCAGCGACCTGGTCCTGCCTGGTCCTGCCTACTCCTGCCCGAAGCCCGGAGGGCCCTGCCCTCGGCGCCCCCTAGGCTCTCACCAGTCGCGCCAGGGCTACCTCCGAGGTCTCTGCGTCCCCTCTTCCGGAGGCGGCGCCAGGTGCACAACCTGCACAGGTGAGGGGGCGGTGCCGCGGGAGGGGCAGGGGCGCCCCTGGTGGCCGGAATGGACAGGCAGAGTCAAAGGAAAGTCGCCTCCACTCAGAGACACTGGCCCATCTTACTGTTGTGGGAAATGACCACTGGAAACATTAAATGAGCATCTACTGTTATGCAGATCCTATGCTGAGCATAGAGGTCCCTGTGGGACAGGAAATGATTAACAAAGAACATGGTAAGTCCTCTGCAAAGGAAGCCTTTTATGGGCATAACTTGTTTACCCTCATGACACCTTAATGAGGTGAGACCCACTATTACCTCCACCTCAAGCAATCTGAGGCACAGGGAGGTCGACTACCTTGCTTGGGTCCCATGCACAGAACTTAACTCTGGTGTTGCTCTCTACTAATTGTCATGCTGCAGATCAGGACACTGAAGCCAGCACAGTAAGGTGACTTGCCCATGGCCACCCCTGAGCTCACATGGCTCCAAACTTGGGACTCTCAGTTCCTGTAATGTGCAGGGACTCCTGTTCCAGACAAGGACAGAGGCCTTGGTATGAGGGAGAATCCAAGGCAGGAAACGGGGCCAGCCGTGGTGCAGCTTGGGCATGCACTAGTGTCCAGCCATGGTCTTGTGCCTTGTCATGATTTTCTTCAGACCCCAGGTCTCCCTGAGCTGGATGGGGCCCCTGGCCTGGAGAGCAGCCATCTGAAGGGCTGGGTGGAGCCTCATAAATGTTAACAACAAGTTCTCTGGGGAAAACAATAGCCCTGACTTGCATTTGCCAATTTCCATAGTGTAAATGCTCCTTTCTGGACAATTTCAAGTTTGCCACGACTTAGAACTGAGTAGGAAGAACAGTTGATGTGTATAATTGGCCTTATTTTATTTTATTTTTTATAGAACTGGGGATTAATCTAGGGCCTTACACATGCTGTGTAGGTGCTGTACACTGATCTACTCGCCAGCCCCATAATTAGTTTTTGCCAGCCAGTATCAGCGGGGTCCACACACCTCTAGCTGGGAGTCAGGACCCCTGAATCTTGGGACCTAGGAGCCTAGTTATTTGGGATCTAGTAGAAAAATAGGAGGGCAATAGGAGCTGGGACCCTTGGAGAGATGGTTGGGGAACTAGAATTCTGGATCCTAGGGCTGGGACAAGGCTTCCTGTCAGTCAGCAGAGAAGAGAGGGCACCAATTCTTTCTTTCAAGGAGAGCCAAAGACTGTCATACAGCTTCATTGCCTGGCTGGCCGTAGTGGCCATACCTATCATCCCAGCAACCCCAGAGGCCGAAGCAGGAGGAGTGCAAGTTAGAGGCCAGCCCCGGCAAACTAGCATGGTCCTAAGCAGTTTAGTGAGACCCTGTTAAAAAAAAAAAAAAAAAAAAAAAAAAGCAGGGCTAGGGTATAGCTCAGCAGAGCTGAAAAATTCCCAGTCTCCCCTTGGTATTGCTGCCTGATTCCTTGGAAAATATAAGCTCAGTGTCTCCTCCAGGTGTCAGAGTCATGGCGCTGGCCCCACCACACCACACCACACTCAGCACACCTTTGTTGAGCCCTCTTGCCAGGCAGGGGCTGAGCTCCTCTGGAACTGAAATGGCCAAGGACCTCCTCCCAGGAGCTCACAGTCCACCCACGATGTGGGAGTGGGTGTAGACCTATAAACCAGAAATGAATCAATAAAACAACAGAGCAAAGAGATTTGGCTCATGGGCACTGGCGTCACATGGCTTCAGAGCAAATCCCAGTTTGGTCACCTACCCGATGTGTGTGCCTGTGCCATTCAACCAAGGAACCTCTGAAGCCCTCAGTTTCCTCATCTGGCAAATGGGGGTGATGATAACTCCCAGCTTATAGAAGCGAAGGCTGAAACACAGGCGAGGTGCCACACTTGGCTGGTGATCCTCTGCAGGGTCACAGAGGTGATTCACCCACATGCTACATTGTTTTCCTCCTCAGGGGAACCTATGAAGTCATACCATTCACAGGTGGAAGCCAGCTCACAGGTAGGGAAGCCAGCTCCAAGGGTTTTGTGTGTGGGCACATGAAGACCCCTCATCCTGGCTTGCCTGGCTCCCAGCCCTACTTATCCTTTGGACATTTGAATCCTATCCTCAGCCACTTCTGGACCCAGGAGTCCTGGCCCCACCTCCCTGCTGGACCTTAGTTCTGACCACCAATGTGATCAGAGCCTCCCAGCACTATCCCCCTTCCTCTACCTCAGGCTCCCTGCTGATAAGCAGGCAGAGGAATGGGAGGGCCTGGGAAGCCCCAGGGAAGCCCTGGAGAGGCTGGGAGTAGTTCAGGGAAGAAGCCAGGGCAGGAGCCCCACCCTCATCTGTTCTCCAGCTTAGCTCAGCGAGCAAGATAGCTTCCTGGAAACTCCAGGCCCAAGTCCAGTCTAAACACCTTTCCCCACCTTCCTTGCCACCTGGTGAGCCCCTAGCAATCCACAGGGGTGGAGAAAATTGTCTACCCTGGGGAAGCCTTCCCAGATCTCACAATGCCTTGGCCAGTCTACACGGGACATCCAGAGGCTAGCAGAACCCCACAGCCCTGCCTGAACTTCCACACAGGCAACCCAGCAAGAATGGCTTGGTTCCAGGCCGTGGCGCCTCCAGGCTTTTATGATGCATACAATCTATGAACAATAAGTAGTATTGTTTGGATTTGTTTGAAAAAAAATATAAAACATTTCACACTGAATGCATTGTTTAGTTACTTGCTTTTTAAAAATTTTAACATTATTTTTCCAAGTATTTTTCACAACTTAGAAAAAAATCAACTCTATTGAGGTAGGTATTCGTTTCCTAAGGCCAATATAACAAAATGTCACTTGAGTGGCTTGAACAACAGTATTTATTTCTGCCAATTCTGGAGGCCAGAAGCCTGCGGCCAGGCTGGTTCCTGCTGGAGGCTCTGAGGGTGGATCTGGTCCTTGCCTCGGCTGGAGGAGGGTCCCTGGTGCTCCTGGGCTTGGCAGCAACACTCCACTATTGGGTTCCACCTGACCCTGGCCCTCTGGGTCTCTGTGGCTCAAATGTCCCTCTACCTTCATTGATAAAGACACCAATCATCTGATTTGGGACCCACCCTGAATCCAGGATGATCCATCTTGAGATCCTTAATTTATTTGTGCAAAGACCCTATTTCCAAATAAGGTCATATTCTTAGGTACTGGATGTGTCTTTGGAGGCACAATTTTAACAGTACAAGAAATAATTTACATATAATTAAACTCACTAATTTTGAAGGTTTCTGTTTCTTTTTTTGGGGGGGAGAGGGTGTTGCTGTGGATAGAACCCAGAACCTTGCATATGTTATACAAGTACTGTGCACTGAGTGACATCCCTAGTCCCTAAAATGTTTTTCAGATTTACTCAGAATGATGCATTTGACTATATTTTGTGCTTATTACCAGTTGTGTAATATTTCATTTAATGTTTAAGTCACAGTCCTCTCTGTCTTTGAACCTAGTACAATATAACTCAGCTATATCCCTAATCCTTTATATTTTATTTTTATTTTATTTATTTATTTTTGGTACAGGGGATTGAACCCAAGGGTGCCTAACCACTGAGCTACATCCCCAGCCTTTTAAAAAAATATTTATTTTTCAGTTGTAGGTGGACACAATACCTTTATTTTATTTTTATGTGGTACTGAGGATCAAACCCAGTGCCCCATGAATACTCGGCCAGTGCTCTTCCTCTGAGCCACAACCCCAGCTCCCCAGCCCTTTTATTTTTATTTGAGATAGGGTCTCACTAATTTGCTCAGCACCTTGCTAAGTTGCTGAGGCTGGCTCAAACTTGCAATCCTCCTGCCTCAGCCTCCTGAGTTGCTGGGGTTTCAGGTGTCAGGTAACACCCAGCTCTCCATTTTCCTATCAATGAACACTTCGGCTTTCTTTTTTTTTAATATTTATTTTTCAGTTTTCGGTGGACACAACATCTTTATTTTATTTTATGTGGTGCTGAGGATCGAACCCAGTGCCCCGTGCATGCCAGGCGAGCACATTACCGCTTGAGGCACATCTCCAGCCCAACACTTCGGCTTTCAGCACTTTTTTTCCAATGATATAGACAATAACTTACTGAGCACCTCTAAGGACATGTGGGGGGTGTTCCGCTCTGTCGTACACCTTTGGATGGAACTAGTAGGTGGAGGGGTTCTGGTGATCTCTCATTGTGAATTAACTACCATACAAGTTCAAGGCTTAAAACAACAGTTTTTGTTTGTTTGAGGTACTGGGGCTGGAACCCAGGGCCTCCTGCATTCTAGGTAGGCACTATACAACTAAGCTACTTCCCAGCCCACAGTGTTTTTCTCCCTCACAGTTCTGAGGTTTGGCTGGGGTCTGCTGGGTGGTTCTTGCTGCTGGGCTTTCGGGAACCTGCAGGTGGATGGTGGCTGGGGCTGATGTCAACAGAAGGTGTCTTCACCTAGGTATCTGGTGGCTGGGTTGCCTGCCAGAAGCCTTGGGATGCAGACAGGATTAGATGCCACATCTCACTGAGAGGAAGGGCAAAGAGCTTGAAGCCAACTTTGTCCCCCACAGAGGCTAGGCTCCTTGGCCTTGTTTAATATCATCAAACTGGTTTCCCAAGAGCTCAGGTTTTCTTTCTTTCTTTCTTTCTTTCTTTCTTTCTTTCTTTCTTTCTTTCTTTCTTTCTTTCCTTCCTTCCTTCCTTCCTTCCTTCCTTCCTTCCTTCCTTCCTTC